GGAGGCATCTAGTTTCTCTTTGGRAATGTAGAAAAGATGAAGCATTTCCTCTGCAGAAGATGAAAGCAGAAGCTGGTGTTCATAGATAGTGAGTTAAACCTAATTCTTCTGTTTGGAAAATCTGGCTGAATAATTTAGTCATTGCTAAGATGTACTGATAATAGATACAGCTTTGAGGTGTGTAAATAATTCTTAACTACACGGGCTGATGCATGCTAAAGAGCATTTGTATCAGTTGTCTTAGGGATATACGTTGTTACAAAGACACCTTTACTTTGTTATAACTCTTTCCATTCCTGTTTAATTTATTTTGTATCTTTTAAGCAAGGAACAGATAACCATACAATGTCACTGACTGAAAGGACGCACAAGACTTGGCCAGGTCTTTAGTATGACAGTTTTCTTCTTGTCAGTGGTGGTCATTCAGACAATGAAAGTGGGTTACAAGCACCATCCTTTCATAAATTACATTCCCACAGAYTCTGTAATATATATGATTTTTGAGAGGCCAACGTTTTCAGTCAAGACTATAATAAACTGAGGCAACTTAGTGCAGTAATCTCCTAGAAAAAACATGAGTGCACCCACTTACAGGAGTAAATTATCCCCATTTATCCAATGATATGAAGGTAATAAAGGATTTATTTAAAAAGCCAAAACAAAATAACAAACCCACCCAATCACAAGCCCAGCCAAACTATTCACAATTATACACAGTATGATTATATGTAGAAGGTCCTTGAGTATACTSAGCAAATCAGCCCTTGATTTAATTCCTTGGTAAGAAAGAAGTTAATGGTAGTTATACTGATAATCAGGTCTTCAGTTTTCTTAACAAGAATTTCCAAGCAAGTTGGAAAAAAATCAAATGCTATTGTGGAAAAAGTGTTATTAAGTCAGTCTTCAATACAAAAGAGGGGGAAAACATGTTATTTTTGTTCTGCTTGACTGCAATGTTACAGTAGGAGAAGGCATGCATAACGAGACTTGTCCAGAAATGTGTTTAATGTACTTGGAAAACATTAACTTCTTTCTGTAGCTGTATTTGTTTCTCCTGTAAGGSTAGTGCATGATTTCATTATGGGATAGAATTCCACATGTTTGTTTTGTACTTTATAACTGTGAAAATAATTGTTGTGGGGTGGTTTTGTTTCCCAACTTCCTGGATTTGACATGCTTATTTTAGGGAAAGGGACACAATATTAAAGTATTGACTGGTTGATAATGCTCAAAATTGTTGAACAGTTTTTTTTTTTTTTTTTTTTTTTTTTAAATTTTGGTTTCATTTGTGAATCAGCCTCCTTCCTGAGGCTACAAACAGGAACTGGGATTTGCATGTAATGGCTGGTTCTGGTTGTTCATGGCTGGAGGCTGATTGCTGGGGCTTAAAGGCTTCTGGTCTCGCTGGGGATCTCAGTGGCCCCTCCACCTATCCCCAAAGCAGCTGCCACTTCAGATTCCTTCAATACTGCACTGGGGTCCATAAGCTGTTGCAGTAATCTGGCCCTATTTAAAATGCAGTTTTAAACAGAGGTCACGTGTGGGTGAAAAGTTATGGAGCAGATGCCAACAACTCAGGTGCTCACCTCTCTCCAGTTCTCCTTTCCTGGCCCTTTAGGCTAGGGATTCACAGAGTTGTTTCCTTACAGACTTGCTGAGCATACAACAGGCTGAGGTRGGACATGCAAAGTGGTATGGGCAGGTTCCTGTGGTGTGACACCTGTAACACAGCTCCCTCAGGAGCTCACTGCTGCAGAGTGGTGCTCAAGCCCATGTAGATGGGTTGTACAAGGTGTGGCTTTCTCTGCTGGTGGCAGTTTCCAGGGCTTGATTGGGCCCCTTGAGCTCTGGCTGTGGCACCAAACACTCGGCCATTTRTCCCTGTCTTGGCACAGTTCTGTGGTCAGATGGCTTTGTCAAGGACAGCCTCAGCTGGGGCTCTTTGCATGCTGTAAACACAAACCAGGAACTCTGTGTTCCTAGTATGATTTTTTCATAAAATTGCAAAAATAAAGGAATTGCAGGTTTTCATTTATGAACCCAAAGCAAACTGGTCAYGCTAGCAGGTTTGAATTTCTCTTGATGAGTTTTGAACTTACTCCTTCTCTTGGGGCATTGGGCATGTAACCGGGCATCCAGAAGATCACTTGAAGGTGTTAAACCAAATGTAGCTGTCCAAAACTAGCACAAAAATATCTATTTCAAGCTAAGCATCTCTTGTTTTATAATTAATTGCAGTATGTARGTAGGTGTTACTGTTAGTTCTTGGTTAGCCTCGGTTATCCAGGAGACAGGCTGGGCTTCCTGCAGAGGCCCTATGGTATGAAATGGACCTGTAGTTACTTGTGCTACTATGCACAATCACTTAAATAAAAATCATCAGTTTATTTTATTCAGGTTTACTTTTTGCAGTTATTAGAGTTTTGGGTTTTTGTTGTTTTGGTTTTTTTTTTTCTTGTTTTTCTGGAGAGCAAGCACACATATATGTATAAAAATATAAGTGTTATTGATGCTGTTTTATTGGCTTCTGCATTTGAAGCTTGAACAAGTAGTAAGATCTAGCTGTATAGTAACACTTGAAAAAATAGTGCTCTATGGGAGAGTGATTAGGATTAGGTATCAAAATGTCTTAAGGGTCTCCAGGTGTAGCTTATCCTGCAGCATGTTCTGCCCTAGAGCTTCAGAGGCTGAGCACTATTTTCTTCCTTTCTCTGTGTAGCTGAGGAGCTGAGTGCTGGAGACTCCTGTGATTGTTGCTCTCTGCTGAAGCCTGACAAAGTTTGAAGATAATTAGGGCATAGTGAAAGGGAGTGGTAGAAGTATAAGATAGGTTGGGGATTGTAGGCAAAAGGGTCAAATAATTTTTTTCCCATGARTGGAGAAGTGTGTGTGCTGGGAGAGTTAGGTGTTGCAAGGCAGACTGAGCCCTGAATGCCAGGGTGACAAAGCTTTGAATCTGGCTACCAAAAACCTTTTCTCTCATCTAGTGGCTGGCCCACAGTGAAGGATAACCTTCCTCTTGCCCATCCRTGGACTAGAGGGTAGAGAGCTATTTCTACAAGTGAGAAGGAATTTTTTGCCGGCTGAGGTGGGCAGTGGAGAAAAAGGCTTYGTAGTAGAATTCACATAGACTTTTTGTTGAAAGGTGAACACAGTGCTGAATTAGTAGTTTAAAACTTAGCTGCTAGAAAATTCGAGAATGTGAGATTGAAGGCTTCCTCTACAATCATAGTTTGTCTTCTGTATGCTTGTCCCTTCTGTATACTCTTGATAATTGGATATGTATGTTTTATTTAATAGCTACCATTCCTGAATTAGCCCATTTTCCAGATATAAAAAATAAATAATTAATCCGCTGTGATTAACTGTAGACTGTATATGATGAAAAATTGCAAAGCAATATGACTGTTYGGTGGTTTGTATGGAAATATTGTTCATAGTTTTCCTAAAGATTACCTCTTCCTTTTTATCCCCTCCTTAAAAAACAAAAGAGCCAGAGCAAACRAACAGCTAAAACCCCCAAACCACACCTTTTCCTAGAAAAAAAAAAATGAATGGTGGCTAAAAAATTAGTCTTGACAGCTTACAGTTTTGATTTTAGAAAGTATACAATGGTGAACTATCAATTGGCTGACAAAAAAACTGAGAGTATTGTTGAAAGTGTTGAATGCTTATGTTTGTCTGACTTCTGAGCTGTCTGTGAGAAGGCAATTGTTTTAGCTGCTTCTGAGTATAGATTACACATAGTTGAGTAAAGATGGATCACTGCCCTGCTTTGTTCTTTTTGCAAGCCCAAAAACCCCACTTTATACAATTTTATGTTTCATGGCTCTTCATTCTTTTCATGTTTCCCTTTCAAAGAGATASTTCAATATATTAAGTGATTTTTTCTTTTTTCTAAATTGTTTCATTTCTGTAACTGGGTAAAAGAAAAGCCAGCCTGTGTTTTAAGGCAGGTAAACAAAAAAGGGGAAATGACAAAATAATATTCATATAGGTTCCATCTAGCTTGGCCAGCAGTTGACATAACACTCATATTATGCAAGTCCCTTTGTAGCTGTCCCCTTATAAGTGAGGCATGGTTTGGTAATTGGTATGGTAATTAACCTGGAAAACTATCCTCTGCTTCGCTTGCCAGCTGGCTTTAAATGCTGTGATGTTAATTGGTAAACTGATCCACTGAAAAGMGACTTGAAATGTTTACAGGCTTGTCTGAATTTAATTCATCTCTTATTTCAATGAATGGCTTTTTCTGTTTAATGGGATGTTCTTTTGTTTGCTCTAATTTGTAAATACTGGTTTTCAGAGTTTTGGTTTTCACAAAGATTTTTTTTTTTAAAGAAAAAAGCCCAAACACCAAAATAACTCTTTTCTTGTGGCATGTTCTTCTCTGATATGAATTTCTGGCTTCATGAATTTATGTATGCTAGACTGTAAAATATTGACATGTTTTAAGGTTAGTTCTGCTTGCCTTACATATATGATGTTTATGTATATATTCCTGAAACAAAGTGTTACTTGATAGAACCTGCTTTGCATTAACTCAAGTCTGTTTTGTCAGTTGAGACTAAGCAGAATTATTGTAGTGAAATTTGTATTGTAAGTGCAGAAATATGTAGGAAATGGAAAAAAAGGGTAATGACTTTTTTAGTCACAGATGATGAAAACTTGTCCTGACATTGCTTTCATACTTTATAGTAGGTGTTCAGGTCTTTTTACTGATTTGAACTGAGGCAGTGGCTCATACCTAACCTGTGTATACATTGCAGGGATTATGTGTGATTCCCTTGRTCATGTTCAGATTTAGAACATGGGAGCCCCTCTATATGTATGCATTTATGTTCTTGTTTACAAGAAGCTAATTTTACAACTTATTCTTTTCTGTAAGAAGCATTTGTTAACTTGGGGTGTGATGAGGTTTTACTGATATAGTGGGTTGCTCTGAAAAACAAACATAGAGATTATAAGAACTGTCATTAAACATAATTTTTGTTTTATAGGTTATTCAGCAATAGTTATGAACTCCCGTTTACGAGCCTTAGGTGGGAGGATAAATAACATACGAGCATCAGAGCTACCAAAAGAGAAAACCCGATCAGAAATAATCTGTAACGTCCACTTTTTGGATGGCTCAGTACAAAGCTTCAAAATCAACGTAAGTTTGGAAAACTACTTTCTTTTTAAATACATAGATATTTGTTTGAAGGCTGCAAGTGAAATATGGGACCCTGAGGTATGGTACATCCAAAAGAAGATGTTGAAGATGTAGCTTTGCCAYAACAAATTTCAGAATTATTGCTTATGAAGTGGATTTATAAAATGCTATTTTAATTTACTTTCAAGCCAACCAACTTCAGTGTCATMAAATCATGGCATGCAGATTGTATCTGGAAGAAGGTCTTCTGTATGACATAGGAACCACAAAGAAACAGATCTGGTGATCATTATGAACTATGAATAAGTAATTAATGTTTAAASGGAACTCCCAAATTAGGATGTGCTACTCCTTCAAAGGATTGGTAAAAAGGACTCCTGAAAGGAGGAGGCCTTATAAATAAATTCCTGTGGTGATGTCAATACATATTTTYTGAAATGCAAAGATGATGTAAACAGTGAAAACATTGTAGTTCAATAAGACTGTTCTGTTCAGTCTTTTATACTTCAATACAGTCTCTTTCTTTGGGTGTGGGGAGGGAAAGGGGATTAATGGAGGTTTTTACTCTGTATTTTAAGTGTATTTTACTCTGTTAGGCTTATAACCTTTAGTAGTGATAAAAAATATCAGTGCATTTTCAAATGAAAGCGAAGGAAATAGCTTCATTTCTCAATCAACTTTCAATAGAATTATCTGATCATGCTGAAAAATTGTGGATAAAGTTAAGTGGAATTGTGTGTATTTCTTTATATGATACTTTATCCAATTTACCATATTTAAGAAGAAGTATTTTGCTGATGAAGCTGTATTGTTTAGGTATCTTAGATTACATGGTGATTTCTAATAGTACATACCAAACTGTATGCATGGTAGTGTATTTGTTCTTTGTAAACAATAGATATTTACACAGCTTTACAATTAGTGCTTGGCCTGAAGTCCAGCACTATAAAGTGCAATTGGCTTCCCATTTCATCYTTTAGGCACTGAGTGCAATATGGAAACCACTGAGAAGAAACCATGTAGATCTTATAGCAGCCCTCTGGTACCTGAAGAAAGCTGGAGAGGAACTTTGTTCAAGGGCACATGGTGATAGGACAAGGAGGGAATGGCTTCCAACTGAGAGAGGGTAGATTTAGATTYGATWTTAGGAAGAAATTATTTGCTGTAAGGGTGGTGAGGCATGGGAATGGGTTGCCCAGAGAAGCTGTGGCTATCCCATCCTTGAAAGAGTTTGAGGCCAGGCTGGATGGGGCTTTGAGCAACTTGGTATAGTGGAARGTGTTCCTGGCCACAGTAGGGGAGCTGGAACCAGATGACCTTTAAGGTTCCTTCCAACCAAAACCATTCCATTACTTTTAGAATCTCTGAACCCAACTGATTTTTCACCCTACCTTAACATACCCTTAGGGTATCACTGCTGGTTACCTCCTTCATCCAGGTACCTTCATCCAGGAACTGTAAGGGCCTCCTTTACTGCAGCTGTGATGCTGAACTGCAGAGGGCTGATGTAAGACTCATGGTTGCTCTACTTAAACAGGGAATGTGGCTACCCTGCTGTGCTCTATGCTAAGGAAAGGAAGACAAATTTGCAGAAGATTTATGTTTTTTCTTACAAAGGCCAAATAAAAGATATTAAGTACTGAGTTGTCAACTGGTAATGAGAGAGGCTGCACTTTTCTGTGAGGATGGCCCTTCCTGATTATCTAACCTTGATACCAGCCTAATAATAGACTTTGCCACACTCTGGTAGTGTCATAAGGTCCATTTTTCAAAAGGGTTTGAAGCCAGCTGCAGAAAATTTGTATCCAGGTTCTGCTTACATTAGCAGAATAATTTAGCTTTGTGAAGTTTTTGCCTGACTCTGTGTGTGTTTTTATTTTAATTGCCATCATAATTCAGTTTTATGTCTCTGAGCAAAGAATAACTTTGGTCTGTGGTCAGTCTGGAAATCAGCTAGGCATGTCCAAAAGCACAGGAAGTTTTGTTTTGAACAATATTTCCCCACTAGTGAACTCTTTCTGGGTTACTTTAGGGAAACTGTTTCTTGTGTCAAGATATTTTTCTCCACTTTWAATTAATTTCTGGATGTCATGTTAATTGACAATTCCATATTTTTAAGAAATTAAATATGCATATCAAATGGCATAATTATCCAGAAGACAAATTAACAGGAATGTGTTAATGTAGTAGTACATTGTGAAAATGAAGGTGCTTTCTGAAGTAACTAGACTTAGATACAAGATACATGGATAAGAAGACCCACAGTGTCTTGTGGATACTGTAAATATATTTTCAAGTTTTTTTACTTTCTCAGCTTTTACAGTTATTGCTCAAATCCGTTGAATTTTTATCTTCTGTCAGAGTTTGGAGAACTGAAACTGAACAGGATCACCTCTTCTAAAGCATAAAGTATAGTGTTTTCTCTTTAAAAGAGCGACAGCATTAGCCATGGAAAATTAAGGTTGGGAATTTTTCAGGGTTGTTTGTGATCTAGTGGTACCTGATTCTGATCTGTGRAGGCTCAAAGTTTGGATAGATGTTACTCTTTGAGCTAACATGAGGCTAATATTCACATACCTATAAGTATGCTTTATGTTCATAGACAGGATTATATTTTTCTATGACAAATAGTGGAAAGTAAAAGTGGAAAAGCAGAATACTTGAAGCTTGGCCTTTGTCTATGTAATAGCATAGGTGGAATTGGAGAATTCTCCCATTCTAATGACARTGGACTGAACACAACTGAGTATTGCTTTGTCATGTAGCAGCTATGTGAACAGAGAATTCTTACTTAGATTCTTCTTATCCATGTATCTTGTATCTAAGTCTACTTCTTTCTTTCAAAGTCATAAGGAGATTACACAGAAAAAACAACATTAAAGAAAAGAAACATCAAGGGTAGTAAGAAACTTGAGATAAATTTKCTGTAAACAAATGGATATTCCTATATTATCAGTTTTAATATCTTGCTGGCAATGCACATATGCTCAAGACTTACAAATATGATGTGGATTTGAATTTAATAGAAAAATAATAGATTAAAATGTCTAAACTTACCACACTGAGAACAACTTATATATTTTGGAATTTTGAACTAGTAGTAAGTGACKTCTTTAAAGTGATGGTAGAACATTCACGGTATCTCGAAATATTGACTCTGTCAGAAACCAGGGAGAATATAGATAAACCTTTCTTTTCATTCTGTATGATTAGGATCTTTATAGAGACCRCAGAGCTGATTTTCATCAAATTTTGTTAGCAAACTGCATGGCACTTTTGTAGTTATACACAYAGGTTTCTTTATCGTTCTGACAGATGGTACTTTGTTTTCCCAGTGCATCTATCTGTAGCAGAGTGAATAAAAGCCAAATATCCTAAAACTGGACAAAGGAAGAGGGAAGGTAGATTTTGCCTATTGATATAAACAGAGGAACTTTCTATCTATTGAGAAACGTGAAGATGGCTGCAAAATTTCCTTCCTGAATATTTGTTCTTATTCAGCACTCATCCCAAAGAATATCAGTATCCTGACCAACTGTAAATAAACACTTAATTGCAAGAAAGCAGTGCCATTTTTCTCCTGAATTTCTTTCTTTGGCAACAAGAGTTTCACAAGAGTAGTGAAGCGATTGGCTTTTGGGTTTTTACTGTTTTTATTTAAAGATGTTTATACTACGGTTTTGGTGAATCTGAAATTTGTATCGGTTGTATCACAAAGAGTTCATCAGTATAACTTGTGGTATGGGCTGATTTTTGCTCATCATTATCAAGAAAGTTCACATGGGAGTACACTCAGACACATTGCTTACAGTCCTGTTCTTGACTTTAATTATATCCAGATTTTCTTGAAGCCTCCCAGTAAATTTCAGGTGTTTCAGTTTTATGGTAAGGTTAACTCATCTCTGTCTCTGACATCACTTCTGTCTTGTTCTAAGGCTATAATGCATAGACTTTCCACTTGAGGGAAATGCTAGTTGTCATTCTGATATACACAGAATTTGCTCACCTGTGATTTTTGAGTGTGTTTAATAGGTATTTATTATATTGTATATATCACATTATGTATATTTACAATAATGCAAATTTATTTGTACCTTTTGATGCAAATATGCCGGAATTTTCTGGTTTTGCTCTACTTCGACTCATTTACCAGGAATRTCAACTTGGGAAGCATGTCTCTCCAGCAAATTGACTTTTGAGAAGGGATAAAATTGACAGCATCAAATCCCTTYTGTATTGCATTGTCTGTCTCAGTTAATGCTTTTGTCTTAATATCTGTGATTTTTGCTTTTAGACTAGATAGCTTTTAGTAAAAGGATTTCCTTCTAGAAATAAAATTATGAGGCTGTAATAATTAAAAAGTTGCATGAATTGAAACTAATATTATTAAAAATGTTTTTGCTTCCCCTCCACCTTAGTTAAGTTTCTCCTTCCAGTATTTTAAAAGGAATATGGTTGTTTAAATTGGCACCTGAAATTATTTATTGGTATATTTAAAATAATGAACAATGATMCGTCTTTAAAGTTCTTTTTGATTGTGGGTGCTTTATATTTTTAAACACTCATAGAAAAATACAATGATGAAGAATATCTCTGTTACCAAGTTTTCCTATTCAGTATTGTTTGATAATACAAGACAGTTTAATGCTACTCTGTGTCCCAGCATGTTGGAAGAATTGCTGTATGAAGTTTCAGAATGGCAACAAATATTTAGTTTTATATTGAGACAAGTCAGTATACTCAACTGGAATACAGTAAGACAGTATGAAATTTGATGATGCCTTTGRGGACAGTGAGAAAGTGATCTGCCCTACAGCAGGCTTGTTAGTCTTAGCCCTTTGTGGGGCATGACTTCATAATAAATGCTGAAGGAAAGAATTAGTGGAGGGAAGATTTTTCCAAAGTTAGRACTGAAATGACTAACCTCACATATATGTTTGTTTTAAAACATTTCGTGAGGCAGAGGAAATGCAGTGGGTCAAAGCTCTGTCCTTGGATAAATATTTTGTGTAGGAAAATATTGCACTGAAATGTATGAAATCTAGAAGCATTACGGGATGGGCAGGGAKTTGGCTGAGGAGGTGGCAGTAGATCTTGGGGAAAAGGAGATGTTAAATAGTGCAAGGACATTAACAGAGTTCTTGACTGCTAGATTTATTTCATTAACATGTTGCTCTGGAATCTTTTCCAAAAAACATAAAAAATACTAGGTTTTAGGACTTATTAACAATAAAAAGACGCAAGAATGTGAGGTAGCAGGTTATCTTGAACAAGGAGTAATTGCAGTGAGGGAAAACTGTAGTGTAAACTAATAGCTTTTATAAGATGAGGTAATGTTTTTTTAAGCTCAATTTCCAGTKGCAAACAATAGAGAAGAGTGGCAGTTTGCAGACTGAGCTGCTCAAGTGTTACTATTCTGAAAATGGTGAGCACTTTTATGCATCAGGCAAGAATCTTCATCCAGTGTCAAGGAAGTATTAACAGTGTTAGTCTTGGCATTAAGGCAACCCACCAGGGAATATCCCTTGTAGATCCTTGCCATTTGCAGACAAAAGAGGGAAGTTCCAGTCAGGCAGGCATAGAAAGTAAAACTAGGATGCTCTGCAGAAAACTGGACCTTAGCAGCCTGTTCTGTTTGTTCTAAATGAACAAAATCTTCCATGCTTGAATAAGAACATCAGGTGAGTAAATRAATTCCAGGAAGAGAAAAGGACAGAGTTAGCAGAAGAGCAAATTAGTTGTGTGAAAAATTACTGTGGAAATTAAAAGAAAGTGGTAGCACTGTGTTCAAGCTCATGTGTCTTTTAGGAGCTAAGGACACAAGCTGTTTGGCTGTGAATGAGTGTTACAGGCTAAATTAGGAAAGGATAACTCAAACAGCACATGAGGGGCAGTGGGTATTGTGCCTGAAGTGAGACTGAATTTGCAGAAGYTTAGGTGGTGCTTAACTGGGAAGGTTATCATTACCAGAAAGTGGGGACAAAACTTCTGCAGAGGACAGGGAGATATGCTTCACTTTGCACTGTCYTCTTAAATTGTCACTTTGTACCAATTACCTTGTAGAAATTAATAAGCTGAAGAACTTTACGTGCATATTTACCTCTTCAGTCCAAGGAATTAACAATTTTACCTTAAGTTTATGCAGTTCTTGGGGCAGTGACTCTTGATCACCCCAGCTTCTAGGCAGTATTAAAAAATAATGAAGGGTTCTTCTCTTTTCATAATTGTTTAACTTTCTAGCAATTGAATTTGACTAATTTAAATACAGTAGGAACTTGTTGTAGCATGGGTRGAATGTAATAGGTGTTAATTATGACTCCTTTAAATATTAATTTTTGGCCTATCCAACATAAGGAGTAATTGATTTGAAGACAGATTTAAACAGAGGTGAATAGTGTGTGGTTATGAGAYGGCTGGTGCAAAGCTTTTAACAGTTCAGAATAAGGATTGGTGGGTGTCATGAAGATGAAATAAATGGAAAGTTCTTTTCAGGGTGAAAAMATGCAAGCTTCTTGAAAATGTTCTCTTCATTGAAAATTTTGAAATTCTKAAGATTATCTTAAGAGCTGATGTCATTGTAGCACAGGCTGGTGAGGAAAATCCATCTTTTTTTTTACTCTCATTATAGAAAAGCAAGAGCTTAATTAGGAATGTCTTTACTACTTGCTCTAATGTTTGATAGGTTTAAGGAGARCTTGATTCTATAGTGTCCACTATAGCTAAGCAATGTTCATGTTGTTTTGCCCTCCTCCTATGGTGCACGGGAGTGAAAATAGGATGTGTTGTAAAGCACTTTATACATTGTAATATTGGAACATGCTGTGGCTATGAATTGTATTGGAATGGCTGTCAAAATTTCGAAGCAGTGATGTGTCATGCTTCACCTGCCTCACTTTACACCTACGTCTCAAAACTGTTAATGTACAAAATAAATTGAAGATTGTGCAGCATGATCTGTGTGACCATTTTTAGGATTATATTGACTGAAAGATAGTTCAACTGTTTCTTAAAACAATGCCAAAGTTAAGGAAATAAACATTTATTGAGGAAAAACTACAAAACCTCTTATAACTGGGACTTTTAACAAGGACACTTTGTAACATCTTTTTTTTTCTTAGATTTCTGAAGTGGGTCCTTGATGTAGGCACTGGGAAAGAAACTGCTTTTAATACCAGGAGTAAGAACTGGAGCCATGTAAAAGTAGTGCTGGAAATTATTTTTTCTGGGAAATGTGGAGAGGCAGAGGAGAAATAAATAGTAGATGTGTAGGTGGATGGGATTAGTGCTGGCTGAACAGCTGGGTTTAGGGTTGGGAGACCCATGGGAACATTGCAAAGAGAGARCTGTGACTGCTGAGCAGGAATGTCGTAGCAGGGAGCTTGATTGTCTTTACAGCGAAGCAATGAGAAAGCTCAGCAATCCATATGTGCTGGGGGAGAGGGAGGAGCACAGTTGTGAAGGCATCTGAATTGGGATGAAAGACTGGAAGCATGGAAATCGAGAAAGGAATTAGGARATAGTGCTGTTGTGAAGAAAGGAGACTGAAGGGAGTAAGAAGTATTGAAATTCAACCCAAAAATTAGCAGAAGAATWGTCCCTCTGTGATCTTGTCCTTCCCCTTTTGTAATGAAACCAGAGATTCCTGAACACCTTTCATCAAAGTATCTGTCCCATTCCCTGTAATTACCGCTTTTTGTCACAATATAGCTTTAGGTGCTCGTTTAGGTGCTGTCAAAAGTGTGCACCATAGGTGTGCARTTAGGCTTCTGAGTTGTGCAGGTGWCATGACAMCACTKGAMAGTGTTTTAACATTCTGTTTGTAAAAACCCAACCTTGGGGAAATGAATATGATCAGTGCTAAAGATGAACKTACTGAGGTCAGGAAATACCCATTATTTCAGGGTGGCTTCTGATGTTTCCRTAGGGCCCTCTTGTGTACACATATGGATAATTTCTGATGGACAAATCTCAGATCTGATGGACAAATTTGTCTGATGGACAAATCTGTGCTGTGGAGGCGATGTCACTGATGGGGCTGGCAGCTGCCTGACAGGAGCATGGTGCCATGGCTTTTTGTGAACAAGGAATGTGTGGTCATTATTGAGAGTTCCATTTCTAAGCTRAATCCTAGGCCTGTGCTATTTCAGAAAAAAAATTGAGATTTAATCAATGCTGTGTTTTGACTGTCCTGGGGAATGGTAGCCTGCTCAAAAGGTTGGGAGTGAGAATGTGCAGCTGGGGTAGAAGGAGAGGCCAAAGCTCCTGCTCTTTGTGGCCTCACAGCCTTTATTGTGAGACCTCAACTGTTTTCTCTGAAAGTTAAATAAGATGGGAGACTGCTGGAGGCGAAGAGGTGTCCCTGCTCCTGTGCCTCCCCGCTACCAAAATCTGGCCACACAAACCCAATAGAGCAAGCTATTTATTACTTATTAGCATATTCAGGATTGCAGTCTTGCAGAGGGAATTKTGCTTGTTTTCTTCAGTGTTTGGTGTTTTCTTCAATAGATTTGGTCCAGTGTTCTTTGGCAGAAGTTGGTTAATCTGTTCTCCACAGTGCCATGCCATGGAGAGGCTTTTTTGGCTTGGGGAAAATTGTGCCAGCCTTATATTTCTGATCTCTGTTGCCTGTTTGATACCATGCTGCACCACTTCTTCTATGATTCCTATCATGAGGGACATCTAAGCAGAAAATGGGGTGGCTGAATGGCAGCTGAGCATGTGGATGCTGAGGGGCAGATGAGAGTGAAGCCTTAAGTATAGGRTCTCATGGCTGGATCACAGAACCCTCCTGCTTTTTCTTCCCATCCTAGTGTGTGCTTACTTTGCCTTTTGTCAGCTGATGTGAAAACAGAGTGCTGCTTTGTGGTGACAGCAGGAGCCAGAGCAGCCCCATGTGTCTGCAAGCCATCCGTGCAGGCKGCCACTCTGGAGAASGGCATTGCTCCTGCTGTGGGAAAGRGAGAGRTGGTCTGCTTACAATTAATTTGCTGCACCCACATCAAGGGCTGGAATACATGTTTGTTYGTATTAGGAAATTTCATGTGCCTAATGTATTTTGGAAAGAAACCCAAACTTTTATCAGAATAAAGTTCTTATTGCTGAAAAACTTTGACCTGATGAATTAGCAGTTATTTTTATTCATGAGTTACACTAAACAAAAAAACCAACCCCAAAACAAATTTATTTCAATTGATTGTATCTTAAAATACGTAAGTATTGCAGGGCTTCACTTTTAAAATTTTCTTGTTTTCAGAAACAAGACACTGGACAGATTTTGTTGGATATGACCTATAACCAGTTGGGTGTCACGGAAAAGGAATATTTTGGTTTACAGCAAAATGAAACTTCAGTGGATTCACCAGTAAGTATAGTAAAYAAAAAATGTGTGTGCATGTATATGTGTGTATAAATATATACACATGCATGTATACACACATATACATGCACACACATGCACATAAAGAAACAGCATTTATTTGTAAATATTTTTAATCCATCTAATAGTTTTTCATTTCACAGCGATGGCTTGAACCAAGCAAACCTATTAGGAAACAGTTAAAAGGTAAGACTTATTTTTACTATCTTGATTGTAACTTTGTAGTCCTGGTTTTCTGTGTTCTCATGACTAGAATAARTGCAGTTTGTCCAGATGGTAGATTTTCTTGAAGAGCAGGTCTTATGTCTGCCAGTCTTTTCAGCAGATCCTTCTGCTTTGAAGTAAGACCTGGCAGATCATGAACTTTGATGCTGTAATAGTAGCTAAACCTGGTTTCTGAGCAGTGTTAGACATGCTTAGATGGTTATRAAAGCAGTCGTCATATTGTGGTGCTACTGAGCTCCTCCTGAGAGGGAAGCAGAAGAAAGTGGGATTTTGATTGAGGGAAGCATAGCCTGTTTCATGTGTAGGATCTGGCAGTTTCTTGTCTCACACAGGTAAAAAACCAAATTTATGGGTTTTTTTACTGAAAAACATCCAACCAAAAAACCAACATCACACACTTCCAAGTGTATTTGTTTTTCTAGTATGCCTTTTTTCTAGTTTTCCTAGTATGTTTTATTGCAGCTTTGGGTAACACAGAGTGCTTACTGAAAAGCGCAGGTGAGCCAGCATGACCCTGGCTGGAGAGCAGCTTAGGAGCACTGAATGACACTGTTGCAGTTTGTGCTGTGACATGTTAGCTATGTTTTAAAGCACTCTCATTTCTCCCTTGTGGTACAGATCATGCAGTTTTATTTCAATTAATACACAAAATTATCATGGTGAACTTCTGTAATTTCATGTATTTAAATGTAATATAGAAYTGAGCCTTATCCCAGATGAGACACCTCAAGTGTATTTGGTGKTTTTCTCTCCTCTAATACTTAGGARGCAAAGGAGGCTAAATAATTACTTTTATGCAAAGTACTTTAAAGGAAAGCATTACAACATTTGAGAGTGTTTTCTTCTCAAATTTGATGTTGGGGAATCAGGAGAGAACTTTCAGAATTTCTTTTAGTTTCATGAGGAAAATATGTGAGATTTCCATGTGTTTATTCATGCAATTTTTCTGTAAATACAGAAATGAAAACACTAGACTCTGTTTTATACTAAAAATTGATTTGCTCTTCTAAAATATTGCAGGAGGTTTTCCCTGCACCCTTCATTTTCGTGTAAGGTTTTTTATACCTGATCCTAACACACTTCAGCAAGAACAAACCAGGTAAATTCCATTTGATGTTTGCTTCCATGAACTAGGAATGTGTAAAGCCCTTCTTTCCCGTGTCTGCAGCTTGGCAAACTATGTTTATTACGTAGATAACTTTGTACAGCTCTTGGTATTGAATGCATTTGTTATGGARGGCTGGATGCCATGCTCAGGCTGAATAGTTTCTGATATTCACAGCCTTCAACTCTGAGATAGAGATGGAATATAAGGTAGTACAAAGAGACAGGTTTTAAAAGTACATTTATTTGCTTCTTGAACTTTTTTTTTTTGAGTATGTATACCCTAGGTCTATCTTAGAAGTTTTGTATCAACACTGAGTCAGTTTTCAACATGTGTAGTAGATTTCATACTGAGGGTGTGGGAGGGTGGGGTTTATTATTTTTTTGGGAAGAACAGATAAAAGGTCTTGTTTTCCAGTTTGCCCATTATTTGTAACATGCAAAGATCTATAATGCTTCAGTTTACAGTAGACCTCTAAAGTTTTCTTTTTTAGCCTACCTCTGATTTTTTGGGATGGTGGGGTACATGAATTACAAGCAGTTTTCAATCAATTTGTCATAAGCTTTGAACTGAATACTTGTTTTGTTCAGTGCCTGTGATTTGGAGTCTAGAATATGAAGGGCGCATATTAATCTGGCTGTTAATCTGGCATTTTTGTAGCATTTTCATTGTTTATTAATTTCAGCAACTTGAGAGTATAAAGAGTACAACACTGGAAATTATATTTCTTGTAGAAAATGTAGCTGTTCACCTGTTTTGGTGTCTATTAATCATGCATTTTTAAGATGTTCTGCAGTTTAAAACTGATTTTTTTCTAAAATCTGCTCTTTAAGGTTCTTTCCAACTCTTCAGTATCACTKTAAACTAACATTGTCAAACAGACTACTAAGAGGAACACTGTACTGCTCTTGGGGAACTGTTTAAGAGTTTTTTGTCAGCATATGCTGCTAGAGAAACCTCTTATCCTCCATTTAGTAGCTCCAAGATAGACTGTCACAGTTGACCTTGATTRAGATTTGGGGCGTTTTGCCTTTTTCTTTTTTTTTTTTTAAAAATAGGGTTTTTTTAAAGTTGCATTCAAAATCGATATTCCAGGGGGGGGGGGAAAGAACCCAATTCTTTAGTGGTTTGGTTTTTGTAGCGTTAATTACAACATTAATACTGTGGCCCTGGAGTTGCAGTAGAGACTGCCAAAGATCCTTAAAACCGTTATGAGAGTGAGTGGGTGTATGATTGCATATTTGTAAATGCCACTAATATTTGTACATCTGTTTGTATAGTTTGCTGGGAAATCTAATGAAATAAAACTATGTAGCCGTTTAAATCGTACCATTTTAAAATAAATGCACTTTTGTTTCTTTTCCAAAAAAAATCTTTTTTAGGCATTTATTCTTTCTGCAGTTGAAGACCGATATTGCAGAAGGAAGGTAATAAGAATCTTCAATTTCTCTATAATTCTTTTTAAAATAAGCCTTTTTCTGAAGGTATTGCTGCTGTAAAAAATATGCCTTGTGACACTTTGCTTTAAAGGAAAATCACATTGCTAGGAAATATTACAAATTTTCACATAGGTCACTTATTAGGAATAGTTTAGAAGTCAGCTGTGAATGAGCTGTAGGAGATGCTGTATGTCAGCAGACCCAACATCAGCCACAGAGATATTTATACAASGCTTGGTGTGCCAAGCATGGAATTYTGAATCTGGAGACCCTCTACCTAGTGCAGTAATCAGGATGGAGTAGCAAAGGGCACTTCATGCTATCGTTTCTCATGATTTTGGGCTTATATTACCTGTATGGTGGGCCTATACCCAGTGGCTTCAGTGGCTCTGATTTCTGTGTGTTTGTTCATTAAAAAAAAAAAAAAGAAAGAAAAAAAAAATGGTCCAAGTATGTGCTGCCAAATGTAAGTTGTCTGTAGGTGTTGGCTTTTTTTCTTTTTTGGATCAGTTGCGTTCAGAAGATTAGGAGCTGTCTTTGTGCTTGGCATTTGACTAATTTTAGTYTTTGTGTCTAGTTWTAAATACACCAGAATGYTGCTATTAATGTAATGTCCAGAGCYTCATAAAAATCTCTTCTCCTTTTTCTTTCCTRAATAAGCATCCAGCAAGAATTTGAGCATGTTCTTTTAGGATTGGTTGCTTCTATACTCTTAAGAAGCTGTTTAAAGTTGTACTATTGTAGTGTTGTTGTACTGCTCTTTAACAATCMAGCTKAGTAAWAAAMCCCARATATTCTTTGAAGATGAGTCTTCAYRTACTGAACTAATTGTGAGACAATTTAACAATTTTATTTAGACATGACTGTATATATGTCTTATTAAAATTATTTCCTCTCCTTTACAGGTTGTCATGCCCCATTAATTCTGCTGTTGTCCTGGCATCATATGCAGTACAATGTAAGTAATAACCAATCATTATTTTGTTAAATTTGATTTGACCAACTACCTTCTTGGCTGTTTGGCATGGAAAAGTCAGGAGAGATTTATTTCCGTATCTATTTGTGCATAGTATTCAGTGTGCAGGTGCAGGTTATTAAGGAAGCCTCCAGAGACAGTCTGAATAGAAAAAGCGTACTTTTTAGGCCTATCTAAAAAAAAAAAAAAAATAAAAAAAAAAAAAAAAAAAAAAAAGTTAGTTATGTGTGCATGTACTGCTGACAAAAATGTCAGGTTTGCATTGTCATTGGAAACAAGATAGTGAAACTTCCACAGTGTTACAATAGCTGCGGGAAAGCATTCCTAGGGAATAAGTGGTCATCTAGAGAACAGTCAAGAGGAAGGTAAACTCATGATTAAGAAACTACTACTAGTGTTCTTACATAATGTTTGCTTTATGGAATTTGGTTTGTTCRTTATGCAGAACTGGCCCTTTGCAGTACATTTAAGGTGACTCTACGTACAAGAACTTATATCCTTCCCATCTACCTTCAACTGACAAAAAAAATTCAAACGGTGATTTTAGAAAAACATCTTCTGTAGGAAAACCAAAATGGAGTCTGATCCAATGCACACAGGCATCCTCAACAGATAGTGAAAAACAGCTGGAGGAAGACCTTTTTCATTAAACAAATGAAGGAAAAAAAACAGGTTGAGGGTTTTAGTGGAGTTTGCATATTTGTTAAAATAGTCAGGGGAAAGTATGCAAGAATAGTTGTGTAATTATTTGGCTGAATCTCATTTCTTTTATAGAAAGACTAACMAGGCCCACAGAAACAATTGAGGTCATTTTTGTTTGAAGCAAGTACCAAGCTAACACAATTGAAATGTGTTTTTCAAAGTAGAATGTGATAAACTCTTAGTATCTATTGAAACCCTAGGAGTCTCTGAAACATTTGCTTTTATGTCATATGTTGCACCCTTTTATAAAATGAAACTGTAATCAGATACAAGCTTAGTAAGAACAGTTGAAACCAGAAAAATTTTCCATAGTAGGTGGCAGTCCCAGTTTTGTAGCCAAATGAAATGCATTCTGCTCTGGTGTTCCTGAGGCCCAGTAAGGACACTTGAAGGCTGAAACACTCTGCACCATTAGGATTGCTCAATGAACTGTTGGTGATCCAATTGTGCTAAAGCTCAAAAATGAAGAATGCATAGGTTTTATCACAAAGTGGAATTAATTATACCATATCTAGTGTACCCCAAATCCCAAAGTAGTTCCTGTTTCCCCTTCAGTTTTATGACTGTTCCTTCCCTTTTCAGTTCTTAGGCTATGATACTTACTGATGYAGTTATCTGTACTAAAGGAGAATGATAGAAGGACAGTGAAGATTGTCAAAGGGTGCTAGTGTGTTTTAATCTTTCTCTTTCATGGTGGATTCTGGATTTCCCATTGAGCTATTTGCCTGTTTTTGCTAATTCATGATAGTGCTGTTTTTATCAGGTAGTGGAGTATTTTTGTTTTCTTTTTTCAGTTAAAAAAAAAAAAAAAAAAAAAAAAAACAAGCAAAAGCACAAAAACCCCCAAACCCAAAACTAACTTTTTTTTTGCTCTGTGATCTCCTTTCTGTTGCTGTTTGAATGATACTGATATTTATTCTCTGCATTGGTAAAGAATGAAATGTTTACTAGAAAGAAGTATTTCCTAAAGAACAAATAAAAAAGGCTTTTTTGCTTTAACCTGAAGATGATGGCATAGGAAAGACTTTCTGAAATCTGAGTGTATTGGTCTCCATACTGAGTCATGTTTGCTGGGATTCCTGTCAACTGAAATAGTTTTAAATAGGTGCCAATTAATTTTTTAATTTCTAATCATACTTAGTAGGGAGAGTTGAAGTTCTTGGATATGAGGTAGCTGCTTATGAGAAATCCATTGTCTGAAGTTGCAATGAGTCAGTTCTACCTGAGCTGTTTACTGCCACTTCTTGGTGACTTTCAGGCTGCTCTCTCCTTCTGTAACTTCCCTTGTATGCAGAAGGGGAAATCGTTGTTGTCTGACAACCTTGTGTGGTTGTTTATTTAAAAGGTGTAGGCAGTTGTTTCTGGTTGGAGGGCTGAAGCAGATGTCTTTCACAGTGTTTGAAGTCTGGTGTTTGCTATTTTCTGCTCTTCCTTCTTAACTAAAGTTTTTCCATGTGCTGGTTGTATCATTGGCCTTCAGAGGCTTTGTTTGAGTTTTGCAAAGGGACTGGTTTTGGTGATATCTGCTGTTCTACTGGAATGCTGCTTCCTTGTATGTAGCACCCCTTGTKCATTTGGGTTCAGTGCTGTGGATCTGAAATAAAGCCCTGACACGTCCCTCTGCCATGCTGCAGCACACCCTGTATTGTCTGGTGGTGCTCAGTCACTGGGGAATGCAAGTGGGTGTGAATACTGTGTCTAAATAGCATGTGACTGAACCTGATTACGAACATAGTTCAGACACTTCAAGAATAAGTTGTTAGTGTGTTATCAGGAATGTGCTTTGTGACAAAACAATCAGTGGATTTTTGAAATATATATATATATATTTAAGGAGAACTTGTTAAGGTGCATTTAAAATAATTTTGTCATTGCGAAGTTGGAAGGATACACTTATATGAAATTCTAATGATAAATCATGTGCTTTTAACTAGTGTAAAATGGGAATGTTGTACAGTCTGTAAAACTAAATAAGGAAATCTGTACAGTAAGTATATCTATTCCTTTTTTTATTTCAAATGTCACAAAGCTAATTTAGCACCACTTGTTTTCTATCACGTCATGTAGTAAATTGCCATTTCCAGGCCCTTGTATAAATGCCCAGCTACTGGTATGTAAGAAGTCCCATGGGTTTCGTGAGAATATGCTGTTATGTTAATAAATCCATTGCTGATTTGGGACTTGAATCTGAAGCATGGCAATAAAGCCAACAAAGATTTTATGAATGCTTCCAAACTTTTTTTCCCCGAGCATCAGTTGCTCTTGTCTCCTGTCTCTTGGCTCCTTTCAGCCCTGCTTTGAGAACCAGGAATTATCTCTAGCACACTGCTATCTGTCTTTGGGAGTTTGTTCAGAAAGGGGTGGACTGGTTGCTAGGGATTCAAATGGACTTTAACCTCTTCTAAGGAAAGGAAGGCTCAGACTTCCTTATGGAGACCTCTCTATTTTCATGGTTTTTATTTGGGGATTTTTGTCTGTGAGTGCTCCCCACCTAGGCTTTCTTGAAATATGATAGTGCTCAGAAGGACATCTCACGTAAGCAGAGCGGTTTGTGTACAGATCAGTCAGGTTTCTGCCTCTTTCCAKGGCATCTTTAACCCTTGTGCCTTAGAATCAAAATCAGACTGGATTAATAGAGATAACTTTGAGCTGAAATTCCTGTGTTTGAAATTACTTACTAGGTATGTGGGTAGACTGAGGATTTGGTGCATGCCACATCTGTTATTCTGAGGCTTGCATCAATTCTGTTCAGTCACAGGTACATTTATCATGTCTTACAGTGCTGGTCATCAGCAGTGCCAGTGTTATCTGTGGGATGGTGGTGAAACTCCCAATACAAGAATCATCTTGAAGAGCTTAATTGAAATRCATTCCCATTTTCTTCCATACAGTTCACTGAATTCTAGATAGCTGCTCCTGAGCTTGCTAGCTTCTCTGTWCAACAGACCTTCTAAGAGTGTCCTGATGGTTTATGCACAGCAACTTCCCAGCTCTTTTGGGCTRGTTTTCCTTAATTATATTTTACAGTTGTGTTAGGCAATACAGAGACCACTTTAGAAGATCGTTGCTTCAAGTATTGTTTAYGTGATGGTCTTCCATTAATAGTTCTTTGAACTGTAACACTTCAAAACAAGGTGCAATGCTGTAATCTCCAGAGTGGAGAGCCCCAGATTGTTACATTGGCCAGTGCTGTAGCTGAMGGAGCTGACTTTCTGCAGTGCCTCATAGACTTCATACTGTTCTTCTGTCTTTTTCAAGTTGGTTTAACCTATTGAATATCTTTGTGTAACCTAACTAAAAAGAGGTAAAGAAGAGTTTCCCAAGGTCAAGGCCCATGTGTAATACAATATTACACTCATGGTAACAGCCTCAAGTTGTGCCAGGGAAGGTTTAGGTTCTGTATTAGGAAAAATTTCTCCACCAAAAGGGTTGTCAGGCTTTGGAAGAGCCTGTCCAGGGAAGTGGTGGAGTCATCATCCCTGGGCGTTTTTTTACAAAGCATCGATGTGGCAGTGAGAGTCATGGTTTACTGGTAGGCTTGGCAGTTCTGGGTTAAGGGTTAGATTCAATGATCTTGGAGGTCTTGTCTAACCTAAATGATTTTGTGATTCTCAAATGATTAATGGTGAATGCTGAGAAGCAACATATATGGCGGAGTATCAGGTGCATTAGTTTGGAAAAACCTTGCAATGTTTTGGGAGCATTGGTAACTATTCCCCTAAGTCCTTTATCCCAATACTTTCTCAAAATGAGTATTCTTTGTACTCCTTGTACTTTGGATTATATTTTGCTTTTCTCAAAACTTTTTTTGATTGTATCTCTATGGTTTCTGAAGTATGTGTTGTATTTGAGATGCAGAAACAGCAACTCAGTCTAATTTATAGTTTCTAATGTGTTTCTTCCTTTTCCTTTGATTGTTTTTTTTTTTGGGTTGTTGTTTAACTGTATGTGGGTTTTGAGCTGCTGATTTTTATTTTTTAGCTCTTTTAATAAAAGTCATTACAATGACTGCCTCATTTTTCATTCTAGAGTGGTAAATAACTTGGAGACTACCATTGTGTATACATAGTTTTCTTTTCTTTCTCCCTACAAATGTTCCTTTGTTTTTATTAATGCCTAATTTTCATTCTGTCTTACCACAAAATGGCCAGCTGTTGTAAGTGGTCATAAACAGCTATTTACAATCATGCCTAGGCTGAACATTTTGTAAGGGTTCTTGAGTGTGAAGCATTATTTCCTTTTACAAAACAAGTTAGTTTTAACTCTCATGATAGCTAATTCTGCTTGTCCAGTAGGGACATGAAAATGACTTAGTGGCTGAGTGTTCATGTTCCCATCCATATTTGGGTACAGGTTCCGGTTATTGAAGCACCTTTCTTTCTCTCACTTCAGAGGGTTTTGGTCCTTCTACAAATTTCCTTCTGAAAACCATTTTCAATGTGCTGTCTTTTTGCTCATTCCAGTGGACCTTTTTAATTTGTCTTTGAAAGTGTCTACATTTTTGTGTTGGTTCTTTGAAATGTAATTCTGCTGTAGCAGATTTTTTTCTGATTCTAGAAACATTTTAATACTTGAATGCTCTGTAGATACTCTAGAGAAACAGTTTATGCTAGGAAGTTAGTTCATCTTYCTTCTGTTCTCATTTTGATCCAAGAAGTAATCACTTAAAATTTCTAAACTGATTAAACTGTATAGATTAAGTATCTTTTCTTTTTATACCTCAGTGTTCATATGAAGATAAATGAATCATTTGACTTTAATACTGCATTTCACCCTCATCTCAAGAATATGAGTCATTATTGCTGTCCTGATTTTGAGGCCGGTCATGTGATCCTAACTRTGTTTTAATTCTGGACTGCAGTTTTATACCTGAGGATTTTTACAACTTCTTTGCTAGACTTTTCCTGGTGTTTGGCTATGTTCTGTTCCCCTGGGAGCTTCATCTTCATATGCAGATGTTCATTGCCTTTTCTAAAACAGGCAACTCAATCCACTTTTGTGCTTTATTCATGTGACCTAAACTAGCAAAAAAGTTAAAAATTCAATGTRAAACTATTTGATTCTTTTCTGGTACACTTCTCTATAGAAGTCTATAGGTCTATAGAAAATTGATATTAAAYCAGTTTTCAAAGACTAGCTTTTGTAGGCATTTCTATGGACCAATTTGTCCATATTATCTATAACTGATTTCTCATCATCATTAGGCAGTGAGCCATTCCTACATTTCCCTTCTTATATCTGTAATTACTTGAAATGCCCACATGCAGAAATAGGTTCTGGTTCTATTACTTTGTATGCAATTTTTTTTTATTATTATTTCCCTACAAGTCTGTAGAATTGGAGAATGTGTCGTCTGTACCATGAAGGACATCACATATGTGGGAAGCACAAATCGATCAACATTTAAGCTAAACAAAGCTAAAAACTTGCCTTTTCTATATTATGTTTTCTAGGGSTGCCTGTAGAAATTGGGCCACATTGATAGGTGGTATTTCAGTACTGTTAGCATTTAAAACAACAATGAAATTYATTTCTAAAACTGGAACCAAACAAATAATTATTTTGGTCATGTAGTATAAAGCTTAGATGTCAAAAATAATTTCTAGTAAGTAAGAACCACAGACAAATTTGGCTTGGAAGATGCTTCTTTGAAGTCAAAGTTTCTCAGAGCTTTTCCAATTCAGTTTTACATTTCCAGTGCTGAAATTTGTGTTGTTTGTCGTCCTTTGGTTTGCAACTCAAAGAGGAGTCTGACTGTCCTTCCTGCACCCTCCCCTTGGAGAAGTGGAGGACAGAAATAAATGCTGCCTTGTCCTAATATAAAAGCTAACTTACCGATGATTTCTTGGAAGAAGCCACTATATAACTGAAACCTCAGTAATGGCTGAGCTGTTTGCATCAATGGCCTCTTTTGCCTTTCATGTGTGTCAGATCTTCCCTCTATAAAGCTTTTTTTTACTTTTTTTTTCCCCTTTACTAAATATAACAATATATTTGCTGCTTGAGCTTCTCTTTCTAGAGAAGATGTATATCTATCTAGTGAATTGTTGTTGAAATCTATCAGTGCCACATGAATGCACTTGTTCCTGGTCTTCCCTTCCTCTGTATCATAATATTATTATAAAATGTGTACCTTTCTTTTTAATTTTAGTTAGTCTTTTTCTTTGATGCTTTCCTGCAAAGAAATCTTTCTACTGCTRGGAGAAAGAGACAAAAATGCACATGGCAACATATTGTTCTAACTGAACAAATTACTTTTGGAAAGGTATGAATAAWATATGGTTTGTTTAGACTTCAGTAAGGTATAGATAGATCATATGCTCTGTAATCATGTATGATCTCAAGAYTTTTTTGTGTTTCAAGCACATATAAGCTCTTACTGTGCGGAAAGTTTGTAGAACTAGTGTTTTGGTATGTCAGCATGGCTACGTGGCTATTGCACTCTTTCTAGTAAATAAAACATAAATATCTTCTTTTTATTGAATATGGCCTTCTAAATTAATGGTCCATCATATTCCTGTCTTTAAAGTCTTTCATATTAGATATAGAGCTCTAAAATACAATATTCTGATATTCAAATATCAGGGGTTTCTATGTTTTTTTACTCATCCTTGATTCCATTTTCTCTCACTTTATATCATTTGCCAGTTATAATAAATTATAGAGCAACCGTGATCTAGAAAGGAGAAAGGTAAGAATATGCTTGTTTTTATACTGTAACTTTATCTTCATTGAGTCAGTATCTGCTGACTCATGRTCACAGCAGAAACTATGTCAGGAGAAACTCAGATTAGAAATAGGTTTTTAATATTTCCTGCCCTTCTGCTGTCTTCTGGAGAAATCCAGATAGAAGCATCATGGGTTATTATTCTTGCCAATGTCTCAATATGTCCTAACTCTTTTTTCCCTACCTGYATAATTAAATCTTACACAAGATCATTAGTCTTTCAAGATGTTTCTCTTCTACTGTGACAGCTGGCTAGGGAGTTGGAGAAGCTAAATTGCTTCCCTTGTTGGCATGGCCTCAGGTAGCTAGGAGGTAAAGGGAAAAAAAAAAAACAACAAAACAGAGTAGCCTATTTTGAAGATGAGAAAGAAGACTCTACCTCATAATATATGAAGGAGCAACAGTTGTCCTGTTTAGAGAAGGTAAAATTACAGTAAAAGTATCTTTATTGCAAAGAAAATTGAAGTGGAAAACTATGTCATCTTGTTCCTGGCAATTTGCTCTTTTCCCATTGGCAAGATTGTAAGGTTTGTTGGAGCTAGTTGGAATTAAAGATGTAGATTGCACATAGAAAAGATGGGTTGTGTTMATGACTAGTAAAGGAAAGGATCCTCAATGAAATATTGTAGCCTGTGAAATAATGGGTTTTATTTTACACTGTTATTAGCATACTACTTAGTTGTAAAAGTTCCCAATTTTTTCTTTAATYGTTGTTGCYTTTTTCTTAGCCTTGGCAGGCTTGGACTTTTGTTAATATATGGATATTCTTACAAATTATTTCAGGTTTTTTGTGATACTTCTGCATCTTCTGTCTTGGTTGGTTTGGGTTGTTTTGGGTTTTTTTTTTTGTTTGTTTTGGTTTCATTGTTCGCTTTCTTGGTTTTGTGTGTTTCAGATAAATTTGACAGTAATGTTCAAATACTTGTTTTGGTTCTAATGGTAAATATTTAGTCCTTTGCCTGCTCTTTTGCTAACTAATTTAAAGTTCAGGCTACCTTTCAAAAGAAATTACTAAGCATGCAAGAAAATCTGCATTCAAAGTAAATTTGTTGCTCTTTATGATTCCCTTTTTTATTTAAGTATTTATTTAAGTATTTAAGTATCTCTTAATGCAGATAATTAGGTGTGCAAGTAATTAGCTTTTGACTGCCTTTGCCTGGCAAKTGTCTTGTATCACAGTACTTCTATTTTCTGGGCCATATAAATCAAATATTAGTTTATCCCCTGAACTGATCCTACATATTTACTGTAGCTGTAAGTTGTTTCTGATGTGCCTCTTCTGCCCCTCAACTTGAATCACTTGGATATCTTTTGTACCTTTTTWAAATTATTTTCTGGAAAATAATGTTAATATTGATAGTATTTCCTGAAAGTCTGCTCTTGAAGTTTGATTTAGTTGAGGGACTTTCWGTGCTGAATTTTTTGCAGCCGACCAATTGTTTTTTTCGTGTTAATTTGCAAGCTATACCAATAACTTCTGGGAAGCTTTAAGGCTTTATAATCACTATTTCATGCTCCTTACAAACGAGAATATTATGCTTTCTAAGTGACAGATCTTGTTGGAGACTTCCAATATGYTATAGTAAAGTAAATGTGTCAAATTGATTTCATTTGCCATCTCTTACTGAAGCACTTTGGTGTTCTTTAATGTTACAGCACTGCACACAGTGCCTGTYTGGTGCTGTTACAGCTTGTGGTGCAAAAGTGGGGCCATATAGGTAACTAAATAAAGTACTAAGTCATTCAGTGCCTGAGATTATAGTTAGGGTAAATGTATTTTTAAGAAATCTTTCTTCACTGGTCTCATACAATTCCCTGTGTTCAACACTGCTTGTCTGTTGGGAAAGAATTGGATATTCCTGCAGTTACTCGTATACCCAACATACCCATATATGTACATGTTTTAATGAGAAGGAATTTCTTCTAAACAATAATCCAATCAACTATGAAAACTTTGTATATGTGTTTCTTGTTTCTTAACAGCACAACTTGGAGACTATAATGCTTCAGTRCATTGTTCAGGATATCTGTCAAATTACAACTTTATACCGGAACAGAACAAAGATTTTCTTAGCAAAGTAGAAATGCTACATGAGCAACACAGGTAATGTAAACTTTTAGTTCTCTCTGRCGTCTTGAACTTTTAAAGAAAGAAAAAAAGATGTCTAAAGGAAGACTCAAGTTAGTAGAAGTTTCATATACAACAGCCAGTTGTATTTCGTTTAGTTTTTAAATACTTGGATTTATCACAGAGGTGCTAGATTTGTTGTATTCAGAGTAAGATGCTAAAGTGTTGAAACATTTAAATAAATTTCTAGTTATAACCTCCAGTAGATCAGTTAACCTTATACATTGTTAAAGTCAAACTATACTAGATGATCGAGGGATTTTCTGGATGAAGGACATTTGAAAATGTTTCAAATTCTATAGGTTTTTTTTTGTCTGTATGTGTGGGAAAAAACTTCAATAAATGCCATAACCATAAAACACTTCAATTAACTTTGTACTTTCACTCCTCTCTCGAGTGTAATACAAAGGCTGCAACAGATTATTCCAGTCAGTGCGCTGCTAATTATTTTTTCTGACCCTGCTGCTTTGTCTCTTGTAAGACTGCAGCTTTGGAATTAGTGGTGTTAATCAGATACTTGCAAGCTGGATGCAAATATTCCATTCTAAGAAATTGTCTGTGAGGAAATGAAATCCAATCTCTGTAGACCTGGTTTTTTCTGTCTGTATCTTAACTGCAGCAGAGCTAATTTCCTGCTCTCTTAGTTTATTTGATTTGTACACTGAAATGTTTCTACTTTCATCCCCTCAGTTCTCCAGATAATTATCTCCAGATAATGTCCCTCAGTTCTATTTTTTCTCATTTTTYAGTACTCTTCCTTCTCACTCTTGTTTCTTTACTGTTAGTGGGTGTGATTGAAGTGGTTAGCTTGAACTCATGTGTTTAGTGCTATGGTAGCAAGAGATACAAAACTGATTTGGTCCTGCGGAGGAAAGATCAGAAGTTCCTGTTGGTCCATACTAGGGTGTGGTTGGATCAGTTGGAAAGATTCTTTTCTTCTCCGGGTCCTTTCAGGGAAATCAATTTAAYTGAGTGTCTTTGGTAGAGTGAAACCTTGGTGATTGAGAACTTCAATTTCTGTATTGGATTAACAGAGGTGTTGGTAATTGAAGGGTTGAATAAAAATACTGAGTCGACTGGATTGGAAAGAATGTTTCTTTATTGTTTTAACACCATTTTGAAATTTAGCTCTTAAGGCAARTTTACTTCAGAGTGCAAGGAGAGGGAGACAAATTATTGTTGATCCTGGCAGTATTTCTTGCATACTCCTTTGGCATTCATRGAGAATACTTAYGTCTGGGACACGAATKTGACTAGWTCAGTGCCAAGAACATACTTGACARKAATGGTTCTGGTGTTCAGCAGAGCTGCTAGGAAGGAAAGATGAAAAAGAAGAATTTACTTTTTTATCCTTTKAGAAGATTATTGCTTTGGAATAAGATTTCTGCTAATCTGGTATAAATATTTGGTGTAGACCATATAGTTTATCTGTAAATTATTACAGCTTTGAAACTGGTATTCTTAGATTACAGGGTTTTAAAGCCAGCCCTATCAACATCTGTCCTTTTTTCACTCTTTAGTGTCTATTCTTTGGGAACCTTTCACRAAGGGAAAGGCTTGACTTGCTGAAACACAATATAGGCTTGAAAAGTCATGTARTGCCTTGTGCTATGTTATGTGTTGTAACTCAGTGCAAGGTTTTTGTTACCTAGGTTTTATGTTGCTTTGCAAAATCTGAGGAAGTTTCCCCTGAACAACTTCAAGTCACACTATTCAGTGGACAGTACGTAGCTGTTGAGAAAGCAGCTATTGTCATATTGAACTGGTATAGCTTCAGAAATTTTTCCTCCGTATTCATCCCTAAATCCATAGAGGGATTTTTCTGTATGGAATTGGTTCTAACATGGTTTTCCTGCTGTGTTTTGCTTAGTTAGCAGCCTGAGATCTTAGTTAAGGTTTTCATAGTGATTATTAGATCCAGCCATCAGTTTGACGAGAAAGACAATTTGAAACTAGATAGGATGCTTATATTCCAGATGAGGTTTGTTAGTCCTTCGGTATCAACAGCTATAAAAATTTGAACGTCAGGACCAGTTTCCTCTTGCCTGTTTCTCTCACTGAATAATTACCATCTGCTTAGGGACCTGAAGGTTTCATTTCACCTCTAATTGAGTAGGTGGGTGTAACAACAAGGAGTGAAAAACCTACGTCTATGCTGAGATACTTGTTGGCCCTTCAAGGCACAAGGCAGGACTGGTCTGGTGTAGATGGAGTATGCAAATTGAGAATTAAAATTTGCAGGCATGTCTTGTTGGTGTGCAGAAGACTTCTGAATAAAGTACTTGATCTTTTTTTTTTTTTTTTCACTGACAGTAATGTACTCTTGCAAACATATTCAGCATCCTGTTATATAACAAAATGGCCATTCTGTGTTGTTTGCTTCTGTAATTTTCTGACACAGTGAAAGAGATAAGGTCTACTAAAGTTTTTCAGAATCAAGATGCCAGTAGTCAGTGTACATGTAGATCTGAGAAACCAGTTTAGCTCCGGATTGTGGCAAACAGCTCTCCTTTTTTTCTTTGCTCTTTTTTCTTTTTTTTTCTGATATTCTGACATCCTCAAGCCACACTGACCATGGCTTTCCGGTTCAAGGTAGATTTCAGTTTTCTGGAGCATGTTGTAATATTTGCTAGAGTGGCTGTTTCAGGTTGTAGTATTTTGGTGGCTTTGCATTTAAAAGGAGGGATATTAATTGGAAGTAATAGATGCTGGAGTTCTTGACATAACTCTGTTATGTCAGCACGTTGTACCTAAATTGCATTTGATTAATGTAATTTTATGCATATAGTTTTGGRAACTCACCTAGTAAGGAGGTTTTTTTACCTGCACTTGTAGAAGCTTTCTGTAAGACAAGGCGGTCAAATGCTTGTATGTCTTAGCTGCAGGAGAAAAAAGTATTTTAGGACTTACAGATTGTAGGTAAACTCAGATGGCTTTTCCCTGGTGAGTTTCATAACTTTGGCTTTAATCTACTCTCCCMCCTTTACTTTATTAGTACATTCATGCTTCTAATCTTTCTTCTAAATTGCTTCCTTCTGAGAGACTATGAAATATAGAATATTTACAGATACAGCTTCTTACTGTAAAGTAAGATTTTGTAGGGGAGTAGTTTCCCCTTGAAAAGTTTCATCTCTTTGAATGTAGCAGATAAAAAAGATTTTTCTAAAAATAACTAGTCGAGAATAGGTAAGCTAATAAAATTGTGTATAACTCGTGCAGTTTTTTGGGAGTACTTCAGCAGGGCCTTCAACAGTGAAGAACTCATGGCACTACTTAATGTGGGGTTATTTCTCAGACATAGGGCTGTGGCATTCTTCTGGTTTTATACATTTGGAATAAATATAATTTCTTTTATTTTTGACTTGTCGGTGGTTCATATTTATTATTTTTTCCCTTCTTTTAGTGGYCTCAAGCAATCTGAAGCAGAGTCCTGCTATATAAATATAGCACGAACACTKGAATTCTATGGAGTGGAATTGCACAGTGGTAGAGTATGTTTACATTGTAATTATTTCCTTGGAAAATAAATTTATATGCTTTTTTTTTTTTTTACATTAATTAATAGAGGGGGAAAAATGGTATTTAAGTATTGACTTTATCATGTTGTTTTTATTTAGTGTTGGGTTTTCAGTAACTTCTGTGTGGCATAGGTACTGGAATTTCAACCAAATAAGATAGAGCTCCTCAAAAATGTAACCATATATTTTTAAGACAAACTATATAATTACTGCAATATATATTACTTTATAATTCTACTTAGGTTTCTGAGTGTCTTACCATGAAAGAGAGTGAGTGCTTTGTTTAGTTCTATTGGCAGATGTTTTAGRAGTTTAATTTCTCTGAATTTCTGTCACTAATTTGTTAAATGTTAATGATACAGAGGTTTTTTTAAATTTAAATTCATGTATTCCCTGATTCCAGGCTAAATCGAAGAAATATTTAACTTGAGATATGACCACTAAAACAGTGTTTGAAATTTTTTACATATAGGGTGTTCATTGACAAGAAACATGTCCTAGTATGTCACTGGCTACTATTTAATTTTTGGACTACACTGATCATCTGAAGTGAATCCCCAAAGTGCTGTGTACATGTTCCATTTGTGCTTCTACACAACAGTAAATTGTTTTAGCATAAGACTTGTAATATAAAAAAAATTGCTTCCTTCAGCATGATATTTTGTTGTTTTTGTTTGTTGCCTCAAATAAATGAGAGTGTTACATTGGATTTCTAGAAATTCCTAAAGTACTTCTRTATGAAGCCACTGTAATTACATTCRTATTCATGAAATACCGTGTTCAAATGGTAGACACTTTTTTAAGAATAGGGAAAASTAGAAAGGAAATAATTGATCTTATTAAATCTTGCTTTGTTTGGGTACACTGTCTTTGCATTGGGTCATCTGTCACCTTTCTACTTTATTGAAGAAGCTCTTACTGTTACACTTGAAATTTCACTGTATGCACTTAACTTGATTGGATTTTGCCTTGTAACTTCTATTGTAGTCTAGTATTTTGATAAGCCAACTTGAGTGATAAGACTTTCACTATGGCTAGTCTTTTAATATTAATGGAATGCTGTTTCTGAAAGCTCTTCCAATTTCCRTTATCCTTCCTGAGCTGCAGGCCACCGAACTGCATGCAGGATGTCAGTAGTGGTCATACCAGTGCCAAGTAGTGAAGATTGACTGGATTCAGACATTTTCACCAAAATGAAATTTCATTGCAGACCCTCTTGCTACTGTTCCAATTCAAAATAATAGTTTTATCACAATTCAATTTTTTTGAAGGATGAAGTATTTGAAATGATCTATTTTTTCTAGCAGCTGAACTGGATATCTAGACATTTAGAAGCTGCTAGGAAGAAAATAGAAAGCAAAACAGAAAGTATCATGCCACATTTCAAATTGAGTTTCAATATCATTTGAATGTTGAGCTTCATTCTTCCTCTCCCTTCCTCATCTCAAAGTGGTAATGGAAAAAGAAAAGTACAGAGAAGGGTAAAACTCATTAATGCTTCAAGGAAACATCTATAGCAGATGAACAGCATGGAGAATGTGAGTAGCCAACAATATTTAGTCTACCTAGAAAGACACRGGTTTACGTAAAGGAACTTTTTCTGTAAGACTGTGGTTGAACTGTAAGCATTAGTGCAATTTTAATGGATGCCCAAGGTGAAATAACTGTCAGGAGTTGTTGGTCAGTCACTGGAGTCCATTAAATGTAAAAGAAGCTTCTAAACCATGACATCCTCTAGCTGTAAATGACCAGAAGCTGAGAAGGGGAGTTGTTAGTAGGGTTTAGTTGATTGTCTTTGAGGTTCTGTGCTACCAAAACATCAGGTGCAGGTCACTGTTTCAGTTGAATGCCACGAGGCAAACCTCTCAGCCAACATGGTGGTGTTGGTGTTGCTCCTGCAGGCCTGTGAGAAGTTTGCARTGAAGATTATGAGCTGCTTCTTCACAAAGGCTACTGTGTCACACCCCTGCTTTGGCAGGGATCTTTACAGTGCCTCCTGATATCCTCACCCCACTCAGTGCTGCTTTTAAATCATCTTTCCCAATTTGTCACGTCCCAGTGCCTTGGACAGATTTAGCAGGGGATAATTAAACTGTTGCTTTCGTGAAAGGCTTTGTCTCTGTGGATTCTGACGATTCAGGCCTTTGCTGCTAAATTAGTCTTATTCCTCTTAGGTTGTGTATGGCAGAAGAGCCAGGTAACACCTGGCTTTTATGGTAGTGGCCAAAAGAAGCTGATGCTTCTGTACTGGTGGTTGAGAGTGGGATACTTTTGGATAATGTTTCTTGAAAAGCAGATGAATATATAGTATTTATTTTTGTTTAAYGATACAAAGTTAAATATTTGACCGAAGTGTGAGCTTGCTTTTTAGCAACTTGCAAAACRTGCAACTTTAATCTGAGCTCCGTTTTCATCTGGAAGCATTTCTGGTTGTTTTTTTTTTCTGATGAGAAATCTGAACCGCTAAAATTGTAATATTAAAAAATGCATTAGTGTTAGGAAACTCAGGAGACTGTATTCAATATGTTAAAACTGTATTGATATTTCTTGAATTCCTAATCTCCTTTTGATTCTGGACCACTATCTCATCTGCTCAATAATTAATCTGCTGTGAAATTATCTTTCATTTTTGTTCAGAGAGTCAAAGATAGGAAATTTGTTGAATCAGTATTATTTCCATATCAACAAAAATCAAGATGGTAATTGTAAATTAAATCGAATGTGATTTGGTACTTAACTAGCTAGATGCCTGGCATGATAATTTTTTTATCTTTACAACTTTTTTTATTATTATCTTCTTCATGTTACCTGTTTTTTTATAAATACATGCATGTTATTTTTTTGTTGTGCAATTTAACAACATAGATGTTTTGAAAGGGAAATAAAGTATTATATTGATGTGCAGTTGTATAAGAGACCCTCTCTATGCTATTCCAACACCTTGGTTTTGTGTTTCTTAGGCTTAACACAGGAGCATTCCTAATAACAAATAACAKGGGAGATTAGTGATTTGGGCTGGTACAAAGGAGGGTGAGGAATGAACTTTGTTCTGACAAAGCTTCTGGAGAAAATAGAGTAGTTTATCCTAATTAATCCCTATCAAGTGTTTAGATAATCCTTTTTTTTTCTGCTTAATCATGTCGATTTTCAGCTTTTACTCCTAAAACTGTTTTCTATTCASAGTATTGATTTTTAAAAGCAGGAACCTGCAGTAAGCTCCAAGTGCTAATAATACAATTTTCTACCCTGCTTTAGGCTWGCCATATCATGGCAGAAACAGCTAAATTACATGCAGTTAATCTCCTGAATACCTCAGTGTTCTTCCCAAATATTAAAATTAAGAGGTGTCAGTTCTGGCTTCCTCTATTATTCTTTGCAAATTAGGTTGAGCTTCACTCATTCATGTGCTAGTATTAAACTTCTATAAAACTATTTTTAAAGGATTTATTGTAAACTTTCCACTCTATTGTCAGAGCTGTTCCATTCTTCTGTACCTTACTAATATGATGAAATTGGGATTGAACATGGAGTAAAGCAATACATTAATTGAGCGCAGAGTACCATCTAGAGGAGCAGTTGTGCTACTGAAGGCTTTGAGAGAATCTGTTACCATTGGCTGTCCTTTAAAAAGAGTCTGAAACTGCTTCTGAGYCATGCCTAAGATTTTAAACCATGTATTGTACTGACATGTGGATTTATGTATGCATTTAGCTCTTTTGAGAAATCTCTGTAATTACATAAGAAATGTGAAGCCAGGATTTCTAACTTCTCTGACATCAGTCTGGGTTTAGACTCAAAATGACCGTCCAGCATCCTCGTCCCTGACTTTTTGCTTTTTTGTTTTTTAAAACTCAAATGTTTGCTATGGAAGAATATCTTAATACCTAGAAAGGATTGTAATTACAATAAATTGTAATTTATGGCTGGTTTTTTTCCAGTTGAGTGTATTAAGCTAATGCACAGCTTTTGGTTTAGTTAATAATGGATTTCATTTAGTGTATGAAATAYTCATGTACACATGTATATTTCTCCAGCATACTCTCATATGCTAAATTGTAGTCATCTCCTGTCCAGTCTTTCTTGTTAAAACCTTTTAGGAGAAAGGAAGGAATTATTTCCTCTAGCTTCTTAAACAGCTTATAACCAGGAAATTTGTGTTCAGTTCCCAAAATTCTGAGATATTTACCTGACTAATCATGAGAAGTACTTCAACTTCTTTCCTGAAATAAATAAGGCTAGACTTGAAAATTTACTCTGATACAGACTGAAGGAATATCCAGGGGAGTGGGATGAACATTACAACTTGTTTCAATAAATGAACAATATTTAGGATACGTAACGGATAACATCGAAGGAAAGAGATGCGCAAAAATCAAAACTCAAAAATGTGATTGATTTTTTTTCCTCAAGTGTAGCAATTTAAAGGTGCGCAAAAATCAAAACTCAAAAATGTCATTGAATTTTTTCCTCAAGTGTAGCAATTAGGTAGAGAAAGCTTGAAAGTCAATTTATAAGTAGATAAATGTGAATGACACAACCTGCATCTGTGTTCTTACAGTATTTTTCTTTTGCAGGATCTCCATAATCTAGATCTTATGATTGGGATTGCATCCRGTGGAATTGCTGTATATAGAAAACTCATCTGTACAAGCTTCTATCCCTGGTAAATTCCTTCATTGTGAAAAAAAATGTCCAGTTATTTCAATCTTACTTCCATTTGCTTTCACATTTATTCCAAAGATACCTACAATACATATATTCGTTCTTTATGAAGTATTGTGGTATTTCCTTGTGTTTAGATAAAAATGAAAACTTGCATGSGCTTTTAAATCTCTAAGACTTTTGAACTCCTTGCACTGTATGAAGTCTTGATCAAGTCAATTTGCATACAGATATGTGTACATGGTTAGGAGGACTCTGTGGTCTTAGAGATTGCTGCTGTTATGCCCAATAATTTGTCTCTCTAAAACAAACATAACCAATCAGTATTGCTATTAAAGCTCAGCAGCTAATTGGCTGAACATTTTAACATGGCATTTAGCAAGAAAATATTTGCTTCTTGGAGAAGAAATATAAAAKATGTTATTTGTAGTTACAGATTTACAGGAAGTAGGATAATATCATTTAGACATTTTTAAATGTCATCAAATAAGGTTGTATAACGTTAACAAGGTTTGGAGTCAGCAGGGGGAGACTTTTGCATTGTTCTCTGATACATAAAACATTAGAATGCATAACAGTGCTGTAGAGAATAACCTCTGAAAGGTTRTTTCAGAGAAAGAAATAATGTGCATAAGAAGTCTAATGTGAATGACATGGGAAGTTACATAAGCTATTATTTTTTAAAAGTGCTTTTGGGCTTTATTGGTTATACCATACTAAAAGTTATAACACGAATTAGAAATTATATGGAGGCTGGGCATTTCTTTACCATTTCTGGATTGGATCAGTAAGATTTTTTTCTAGCCTTTCTTTTTTAAAAGAAGTATGAACTTGGTTTTTTTATGCTGGATAAAACTATAGCTTTGTCATGTTATATGTAAGTTCTTTGTTTAATTTGTAACTATTTTTTCTGGATAACTTCTTCAGTAAGATTGTGTAGTGTTATTTGTTATGACAGAAAAATGCATTATACTGTGTTGTACTTGCTTTCTGGCCCTTAATTACACAAAAAAAAGCCCCTTAACTGTGTTCTTTAAATACTACAGTCATTCTATCCTTTCATTTATGAACCCAACCAAGCAGCTATTTCCTTATAGAAAAGCAATAAAATCAGTTTTAGTTAAAATTTTAGGGAAAAATATTCTGCACAGTCTCAAGATTTTTCTTTTTTTTTCATTGCTGTGAATTGCATGTCAGCTCCCTGGGATATACTGCAATCCTCCTAGATAAACGTATGTCAATAATAATTCTGTCATACAATAGCATAGTGAAAACTTGTATTTTTCCATTTCTAATGCACGTTAAAGCATAGAAGACTTTCATCTTTGTGCCTTGAGCACTGCTCTTTTATACGTCAGACTCTCAGCTTCTTTGAACAGCTGCAGGTCTTAAAAACTGCCAGCTGGAGGCACATTCTCTGTCTTCTGCAAGTCTTGGTCTTCCAGCTGAGTTGACCTAAGTAAGATAGGAAGGATAATAGTTGTTTCTGAAAACTATAGCAATGGYATTTTAAAATCTGTGACTATATGATTTTTTAGGGAAGGTAAAGATAGTTTATAGCACACAAGACCAAAGGAATCTACAACTTCCTGTGCTACTTTTACTCCTGGAGAGCACAGAGGAATAAAAACAGATAGCAAAACATTTTTCACAAAAGCTTATTCTCATTTGCAGAAGGAAATTGAGAGATAAAACCCACAGGTTTTTCAGTTCAAATAATTCCCACTCTAAAATATGAGGTTTAGGCAGTAATATTTTCAGCTGGCAGGTAATGCAGGTGTTCCAAGCTTTCCTACTCTCTCTCTCTCTTTCTAAAAGTTTGTTTGTTTTTTTTTTTTTCACCTTGAAAAAAAGCTCCCTACACTGGGGCTAATTTTTAGATATGTTATGTCTGGCATCTTGCATGAGTTGATCAGAATTCTTTGTGCAGGAATGGTGTCCATTCCCTGATCACCGCCAAAACAAGCWAACACTGAAAGCCACCAAAATGGAGTTTCTTGGGATGTATTTGTAGTATGGATTCTYACTTTTATTGTAGACCTCAAAGAAGAATATATTTCTGTAATGSCAGTGTGCTATTTATTTAGGCTTTTTATATAATACCGTTTGTACCGAGTGGTTTTTCCTATGGACTGTGCAAACTTCACCATTAACGAGGTAGAACTCAAGGTGGCAGCAAACACCATCAAAGTGCTCTTTCTGAAATTTTTAAGTAAAATACTCTGCAGTGGATGACAACAATACAACTRTGCCATATGGTAGTAGTCAAAGGGGACCAAAAGTTTTCAGGAACAGAGGCAGTGAGAGAGTTCTGCCTTGGCAAAAAGAGGCTTTTCAATCAAAGCAACCTACGTAAAGAGCTGACTGATCAGTCAGCGGCAATGCAAGTCAAGATAGTTTAAAAAATAGCTTTGGATTTAATGCAGTATTTTATGCACTCTGCAGRGTTATTCTCAAGGGTGTTTAACTTGGTTCTTGGTAATTTCCAAATTGATTTTGCTAGTAAAATATTAATGACAGAAGCATACACTCTCTGTATCAGCAGCAAATAGAGTTAGGTATTAAATGCTGTTTTGTGTATGCAGTTTTACTGCTTTGAAAACTTTAGAGAAACTGCTTGAGGAATGCATAATACGTTGCTAGTTAAAACTTGGAAAACAACTATCTTACACAGCAAATTGGAAAGWACCTTTATTGATTAATCTTTCAGTTGCAAAGGATAGGATTTACAGGTAGTGAAACTTTTTTTTTTTGCTTCAACTCACAAGTGCCAGTTATTAGTGCTAAGTGCTAGGACAGGACTGCCAGTTTAATCGTAAATTTGCAATTCTCTGGCCCACGGAGTGACAAATCTATTTTGATGCTTGTGAATGATAGGAAGATGGGACTCAAAAGATCCATCACTCTTAATATGCTACAACTAGTGAGTGCTTTATAAGTAAACCATGAAATTTAATTATTTGTGAATGTTGCACAGTTACTGGAGAGATTGTTGGTGAGAGACAAAGGCYACTGAGCCACCAGTTGTATAACAGTAACTATATTCTATTCAGGTAATTTTTGGGTATGGCATCTGCAAGAACTTGTTAAGTCTAAATCCTTTGACACCTTAATCTCTTGGATCTTTTTGTAGATTTTGCTAGATGTGAATATTCACTCATTTTGTAGGCGTAACATTGCAAAATGGTTTTTAGTTATTGTTAAATAAAAATGTTAGAGTAGCAAGTGTTCTTTGTGCCTGAACTRAATAGGTTCAGTTGTACTTTAGGAAAAATTAATATAATTGAGGGGGTACTCTATTTAGGAGAGTGTCAAAATGACTTTAAGTCCTGATTTAACTTGAAGTGATTGCATGATCATGCACTGAACCATAAGGTTGGTTTTGATTTRTTTTTGGTTTTGTTTTTTTTGTTTGTTTTGGGGTTTTTAAACAGAAAACAGGAGGTAGTAGAGAGGGAGTTTTGCTACTTTAGAATGCTGGCTCCCTTTTTGTTGTTGAGTGGAGGGTTTTTCACTTAATCTGCAAGGTCAGTTTTCTGTGTCCTGCATTTCTGCTGGCTCCATGTTAAGGTAAGAGCAGACCATGACAACGACGTTGTAACCTGTGAATAATTCCAAAAATGTGTTTGTTGAAGTTCAAGAAATGTGGTGAAAAGGAACCAGACGCACAAACATTGAGTGATGCTAGTTCAGGCAGAATAGCACTAGAATCAAGAAAGAATTTGTATCTGATGAGTTCAGCTCAGTAAATACAACTGAAAATTTATATGACTTGTCAGGTAGTTCAGAATCTGAAACTTTTAGATGAGCAGCTCAGATCACTTGTGTTTGAGGTAGCAAGTCAAATGGCGCAAGTGTTTCAAGAGTTGACCTCACAGGAGAGGTGGATAAGTTTTCGACTTTCCATTAGTTTTCATACTAGTTTGTCTTGTCAAAGAATYGTGTTGAAATACCTGCTTTTGGGGGTTCTGTGATTGATGGAGAATAGCATATTCTGAAATTGGCACTCACAGTTTTCCACCTCTTGTGCAGGAGGGGGATAGGTAATGCCATGAATATTCTTGTTAGTAACTAGCAAATATTCTCTCTTGTGTCCATGAAGGATGTATCTCTATAACTCAATGCATCTCCTGTGAGCAGTGGGGAATGAATTTTATGCCACCCGCTTGATGAGAGTGATGCAAAAACTGTGCCAGAACTGAGACGACTTTCAACATAGATCATACCTGATATCTAACATCCTGTGAAGCATCAGTCCATGGAAATATTCTGAGACTTTTGGCAATAAACTTACAAAACCCTTTCATGATTTTTTTTCTGGCCGAATATTACTTGATCAGACCTTAAATAGCTTTCTTTAAGATATCCGTAAGATTCCAGCTGACCATAGATCWGAGATTTTTTTTAGTCTGAAAAACGCAGGTTTTCAGTTACTGAAGTAGAAGTATTGCAGAAAAAATTTAGGTATTTAAGATAAATCTTGTTTTGCTGTGGGAAGGTGTGTGGGTAGGTAGAAGTTTGTTTAATTTAGCAAAACTTAYAAGCATGTAATTAAAATGAAAATTGCTTGAGTACCAATTCCAGCTGTAATCTTTACCTTAGAAAATATGTATTCACACTGTGTATATATAAAAAGAGGTGTTCAGTTCTAAAATTACCACATAAATTACACAGCAATGTTAATGAAGTGAAAAATGTATTAAAACTCATTCTTACAGCTTTCATCCTTCTAAAATTATGATTTTATGTAGAAGTCTTGTTTAGTTATTAGCACAAGTACGTGATACTTTTCACATTATGAAATCAATTCTGCAAAGCCTCTGCAAAGTTTCAGTTATTGTGAGACCAACCTTGTCATGTCATTAGGGTCTTAARTTTTGTTCCTTTAGTCACAGTTGTCATATGACTCCGAAGTTATACAAAACTTGACACATTTAACATTTGTGCAGCTTAGTGTAGAAGATGTCATCAAGTTTTTGCTGCAAGAATAGATTTGGTGGGAGAGAACTRCTGTGAACTATTTAAAGATTAAACGAGGACATGTATTTGCCACTCAAAACAGGAGATGGCTGCATATTATTCATTGAACATTTTACAGCTATAATTTTTTTAGGCTCGCTGTACACAGTATTATTTTTCATTGTTTTATCCTTGAAAACATTGTTCAGTATTYCATGACATGTTTCTTTCTTTTAGGGTGAACATATTAAAAATTTCCTTTAAAAGGAAAAAGTTTTTTATACAACAACGGCAAAAACATGTAAGTAGTCCTCCAACTTTGTTCTGCTCAAGTGATCATATTCAATATTTTTATATTAAATGTAATCTACAAACTGCTGATCAAAAGGCTCTGTTGTGATAATTTGCCTTTGAAACTCTCTTCTGTTCACTTGGTTTTRCTATTCTGGTCTACTTATTCCCTCTCCACTTTGTTTGTTTCTTTTCCRACACTGAATCCCTCCATTTTCAGTCTGTTGTACTGTATCTTGCCCATGGAGGTTTCTTCTCCCTTGGAGACTTCGGGTAAATGCAGATCTCCATCCTTTCTTCACTATTAACGTAACATATTTCTCTTTTCTTTTTAGCATCTGCTGCTCTTTGCTTTGTTGCTCTCCCTGTCCTGTCTAGTTCCTTAATGCAGGGAATCTACTAAACAACTGCTTATCTTGTGTAGGGGGACTTTGTGAGATCACTTCAGCTTATAGGGCTCAGAGYTCAGGAAGAAATCCAGGTTCGTGGAGGAAAGGAGAGCTTTGCAGCTGAAAAACGTGAGGCTGAAGAGGGGAATAGCACTCCTCCTGCTGTGTGTAACATGGAGGGCTTTAGGAGTTGATAAATTATGTGAAGATAGTTGATAAAACTAATGTAAAATTTTTCAGCTCTTCAGGGTTGAATTCTGTCAGTTGCTTTGTTCTCTTTGCAGAGCAGTTGAAATAGGAGTCTATTTAATGGGGAGGAAAATCTTTTTACAGAGCATAGATTATTTCATRTGACAGAAAAAAGTCTCTCAGAAACTAGTGATCAGCAGATGTATAAGAATCTTAATCCATTTGAGAACAAAACTCAAGGACATAGTACAAGATGAGCGTTAACTTGTACTTAAACTTTATGAAAGCTCTTTCTGGTAGTAAATGAGCTCTTAAATTGATAGGAGCTGTGTTACAAGACYACCTSTTGACCCACAYAGATTAGAAGGTCTGCTGAACACARATTTCAGGGAGGCCTTTTTTACCCAAAAGGAAAATCTTTTCTTCTTTTTTCTTTTCTGTGTGTCTTTCTTTTTTTCCCCAGTGTGGCGACTTCTTGGAAATTTGGGGAGTGTGCAAGTATGCTCATATTASTTTTCAGGATTCACATTTAAACAAAGTTTAGTGTCTAGAGACAATGTTACTGCACTAATGCTTGCRCACTCACATAGTATGCACAGACTGTGTCCTTCCCTACACACTGCGGAGGGATTTAAAGTATTGTTTTTTTTACTAGCTGTAAGTTTCTAAATGTATTGTTTATATGCAGACATGTCACAGTGTGTTCATMTATATTTCACTGCATGAAGAAATGAGTGGTTGGTAAACCAGTCTGCTCACTTGTGAGTGTAAATATTTGCAAGTAGTAATTTCTCCTGGATTTGAGGGTTAAAAATTCACTGATAAGTARTAATTTTAAAATCTAAGTATTTTCAAATATACAAATAAAGGCAGGCTTACAAAGAGCAGTTTCCAAATGTGTCTGTGACAATAAACATAGTAACAGAACTCTCCAARAATGATTAATAAAATCGGGCTCGGAACTAATTGATTTTAAGGTCCCTTCCAATCCAAACCATTYTRTGATTTTCTGAAAATGAGTGTACTTACAGTGGTTTTAGAGCATAGAAKAATTAAGTGTCAATATAGAATAATCTGTGGATGTAATATARAATATGTGTGTTCATTACATAAAGACTTTACTGCTGTCAAAAGTAGAATTTTTCTCTCTGGAGACCCATGTCACCTCTGAAGAGAGCAGCAATCTTAATTTGTTCAATTAGACATTTGATAAATGATGACAGTGCAAGACTCTTGATTCTTTTAGCTTACCTCCTCTTAAGTGATCATAGTTCTTTGTTTCGTAACCTCAGAGTTGACAGTAGTGCACACAGTGTCATGCATAAAGAACTACAGAACTGTAAGAAAAATAAGACCAGCTGCATGACCTTTTTACTCCTTCTCAGTACAGATTAAAAARCAGACCAGGTGTGCTACTAAATCTGTGGATACATCCATCTTTGTCAAACCCCTTTGCTTTAAATTTAGGGCATCAAGTCTGCAGTACTCCAGTGATATTGCTTGGAAAAGCTTGCTGGTGCAGTTCAGTGGGAGAGACAAGAGTGGAGTYCCAGGGATTTCACCAGATCAGTGGGTCACTTGAGCGGTGTGTAAGGGCAGATGACTGCTTGGTGTCAGTCTTTGAATTCATCTTTTTTGCTTGGAAATACAGAAGCAAATAGGTAAATGAGTCTGAAAGTAAGGAAGATGAAAGAATGTGGGGAAAACAGAGCAGATACTGTATATTCATAGGCAAAGTTTGACTAAAGATGATGAGAGTGCTATAGCACTTCTTTTCTGTTTTGTATATCATATGTGGATTCTTTACAAAAATCTACAGAAAGTTCACAAAGGCAATGAATTTGCAGTCCTYTTGGATGTGCCATGTTTCGCTAACTTTTTCTCCTCATTTCTTCTACTCCAATTTCCTTTTCTTATGTGCCTTTTCTGAAAAATCAGCTTACCTTATCTCGCTCTTTCCCTGCTACTCACCTTCTCTTTTACCCTCCCACTGCTTCAGTCTGTTGATCACCTACTTGATTAGGAGTACACAGTATTTCTGTTTCTACTGAAGAGCTACAATAAGGACTGGGGAGTAAGACTGATGAATCAATGTCTGGTGCTATAGAAGCTCATGACATATTGGCTTAGTGAAGGATGCAGGATTTAAGGCAGGAATAGGAACTTTGCTGTCTAGAGACAACATTTTGTACCTTTCAGAAATGAAATTCTATTTTCAATGTGCCTATCTAATGCTTAAAAACAACTTCATTTGCTGCATACCAAAATATATCTTTATTTTCTGTAGATATTTTCAGATTTTCTGTGAATTGAATAGGCATACAACTGATGCAAAAGGTCTTCCATATCCTGAACTAGCAAGCCACTCTAGCTGTGGAATTTTTCCCTTTACCTTAATGGCCACAAATTTCTCTAATCCTCATTTCTCAATAATCATTAAAATGCCATTYTTCTAGAACTTGAGTTGAGAAGTGTGATGGGCATTAGATCCTTGGATCCCACTAGAAATCTCCTCACCTTTGAAAAAGTACACAAATCTAACAGCATGACTWGCAAGGTGGCTTGTTAGTGAGGCCAATTGTTATTAACAAAAATGTATGCTAATCTAAAAATTGAATAAGTTTTTATGAAATGTCTCAAAATATTTTTCCTAGTTTAAATCCATATTAAGACTTTTAGTCCTCTTAGAGGCTGCTAAGAAGGTTCTGAGGCAACAGAAAAGCACACTCGTGATGTAACAAGCAAAATTCWTTACTATTTTCAAACCTAAATTTAAAAACAGAATATTAGGTGTACTTAATTCTTTATAATATGGCTTTTCAGTATCCTTGAGATGTTTGAATAAAGTATTTTTTGAGGCAATTGAAAGTGCTGCAGGCCAACAAAAATATCTATACACTTTGTCTGCGGGAGCAGTAAAACCCTTCAGGTAGTGTTCAACCAACAGGGAGTCTGTCAGAAATGGCATTTGTCATTAAATCCTTATGATGTATGCTTTATTTCAAGTAATTCTGAGTTAAGATTTCCCTATGCTTTATGCTTTATTTTACATAACTACTTAGAAGCAACTGTGGTGAATTGACAAAGACAAATTGGTTCCAGTATGCGCGAGACTCAAATAACAATCCCACATCTTAAAAAGAAAATATTTTAAAATACTTTAATCGATATAGAGAAAACATTCCTGAAAGATTGCAATTGGTTAAATGGTTTTCGTGTTTATGGAAAATCAAGAGGCAAATCTTTTTTTCTCTTGAGAGTCTCACTGTTTTTCTAAAGGAGTGTCTGAAGCCATAGATTCTCTGACCTACACATAACGTGATTTGCAAGATGCAGGGTTGATCTCTGATACATGGCATTTGTAAAATGCTGCATAGAAATAAAAAGAACACAAGAAAAACAGATTGACTCTTCCAGCCAAGATGGTCTGTAGTTGCTTCCCAACAGGATTGTTGCGGTGAGAAAGCAAAAGGTTGCCTGTCTAATTATGTGTTGGGATGTCAAAATCAGTGATATTTTAGAGAAGCTGGGAAAGATGAGTGATGAAAACTTGGGTTTTTTTACTAAAATGCTGAACTGTGATATAGGTTGACTCAGGTCTCACGTTATCTTCTCTTTGCTTTGCTCTCATTCCACTGTCTTTGCATCAATAACTAGATTAACTAACCAAAGCTTTCTCCTGTACAAAACTCATGGGCATAAACATGGGTGGCACAGTTGTGTTACTCTCATGTTTCACTGGCACTTTGGCAATGAAGTTACTTACAAGAGTTTGCACCGAGACACACAAGTTTTGTGTTCTGCTGCCTTMTGATTCTCCTCATTGTGGCCTCACGCTATCATCCAAACAGGAGTGGGTTTGAACAGCGGTAAAAGCAACTCCAGTCCCATAACAGCTGTTTTCTTTCCCCCAGAAATCATCACTGTTAACATCTTCAGTTTCTTCTGAAAGACTATCAAGAATATGCTTTTTGCATAATATAGCTCTTGAAAGAACATTATTGATTTGAAACCTTACGTGAAGAGTTTGATTTCAAAGAATRTGGGGCTTTTTCCTTTTTTACATTGCACCCTTAATGGAATGTTTTAAAGCATTTTGTTTGTCTTAGGAGGTCAAAATCTGACTGGAAACCCTTAAAAATATGTTAATCAGTATGACATGGCACTCATATATGCAAAATAGTTACTGCTGTAGACTTAAATATTTCATTAACATTTCATTAACTTATAAAATGCACATTTTGCAGTTTTGAATTTCACTTGGTCAGGTATTTTGGCCATTTCCAGCTCAAAATCTACTATATGCTGATTTTTTTTGTTTGTTTGTTTTACTCAATGTATTTTTCATGTTTAAGCCTAAAATAATTTATTGTTGTTTTTTGAGCTTGTTTGCTGTTTCATCTTCTTGTGTATGTTGAAACATGGTGTTCCCTACCGTTACAGAATGAATCCAGAGAGCATATTGTTGCCTTCAACATGTTAAATTACAGAGCATGCAAAAATCTTTGGAAATCTTGTGTAGAGCATCACACATTTTTTCAGGCAAAGAAGTCACTACCTCATGAAAAAAAGATATTATCACATTATTGGACTCTGGGTTCTAGAAATCCAGCAAAGTAAGTATTGTGTGAAAGCGTGTTTTGCTCTGTGGTGGGAATGGGAGGATTTGTGCCAGTGGTTGCTCAAGTTGGAGTGGCAGAGTTCAGTCCTGTCCATAGCTTTGTCCCAGTCTRTATATAAACCATTTGACAACTTATGTAGTTGTGATTTCACTTTCTGCAGTGCGGTCTCCTTCCAATAGAATTTTTCTTATAATTGCTTCAAAAGGTGTTTGAATAWATGTTTTACTGCTGGTTTTTTTCAACTTGCTGCTTCATTCTGAAGCATAAAAACACTGGAAAGGAAAAATGTCATGTAGCTAATGATCCAGTAAGAGAATTTGCAGAACAGATTTGTTTTGAAATGTTTAGCCATTAGTGTCATGTACACATTCTGTTTAATATGTTAGGGCAATTTCTGAAGTGCATCMTGCCACCACTTATTACTGATATAAAGATGAAAAACTTTCCCCCATTCAGGTATTCAACATACCCCTGTTGTGACACTTCAGATCCTTTATTTGCCTCACTGGATTCTTCTAGTTACAGAGCTGATAGTTTCCTAGTGTTATCTAAGATCTAGTTAATCTGAAATAATTCTTTAGAGCCTGTAATTTTTCTATATGAAGCTGGGATTATCCCTCCCCATATGCAGTAGCTGGGCCCTATCTTCATTGAAGTTAAGATGCCATTTAATTGTCTAGTCTCTTGACATTGTAATGTCCTTCTCCATTTCTTTGCAATTGGCTTTGTTTTAGCTGTTCTGTGTGATTTTTTGAAGTGTGAGGTTTTACTCAAGTAGTTCTGCTTTTTTATCTTAGGGGCCTTTACGCTTTTTTGATAAATATCAGTCACAGTGATTTATTCYATTTTAATGATTTGTTCTGTGGCTATATTTATCGGCAGCTCAGCTACAAAGGTGTCATGTCCTGTGTCTCTATTGTTTCATCCATCCCATCCYGATCCACTTACCTCACACCCCAAAAACATTCTGTAGTGAAACTTATAAAAATATTTCATATTGATAGTGAATGAAAAATAAAGTCTTGTGTCTTTATCTTCTCTGTATGGGAGATTCTTGGGTGTTCTTTGAGTCTTTGATGATCTGTAAATTCTCTAGAAACCTGCTTGTTCTCAAGATTTCTGGAGAAGTATTATATTGTTTTCTTKTTGTTCATTGGTAGTGTGTTTTTGTGAATTTTTTTTGTAGCGTATTCCCTTAACAGTTTAATTTTACATTTAATTTGGCATACTGATTCTCTCTGTTTTATTTGGATAAACTTGAATTTCTTAATGATGTCAACATGGTTCAAATACCTTCTCAGACTTTGGTGGCTCTTTGTTTTTTTCACACTCCATTRTCTCTTGTTACTGCAGAAATTGATACCAAGTGGACTGGTGTTGCTTGTAAATGAAGCAGTTAATCCATGAGGGCTGTCCAACAGTAGGAAGTCTGATAAAATATTATGTTTTCTGCTGGACTGTAATTCTGTGTTTTCACRTAGTACTAGATCATAGCTAGATGGTCTGGTTTCTAGATAATGGAAAACAAGTAGTTGTACAAACAGTATTTCAATTTTCTATAATTTTACACCTCCCTATTTTAATAATTATCTCTTTTATGGAGTGTTATGACCTTGTTTTTCCTGTAGTGGAGGTGTTGAGGAGGTGACTCTCAGAGCTGGTAGGATTGTCAGGTCCTGGAGTCCTTTATTTCTTTCAAATTTGCAAAGTGAGTAAAAACCCTGATCCTCCTGTACACAGATACATACACACAGGCATTGCATGCCCTTTATAATGTTAAGAAAGAAAACAATATGAGTTCCAAAGGGTACCAGTTTAGTATCATTTCAATTTTTACCAAACATTTTATTTTTGACAAATTACAATTTTGACAAATTACTATTTCTTGATAGTCTATAGCACACATGATAGTTYTCATTGTTGATCTGAGTTACTAAGAAAGAATTCTTTTTGAGTGATTTCAGTRCTCTGAGGCATTATATTTACTGAATTGCTTACTTAGACTTTTAAGGAATCTCTAGGGGGAGAATCAATTATGGAGACACCTTCCATCAGCTTAACAATAACCTCTGTGCTAACGTTTTTTTTGCCTTATGTATATCCGCAATGAGCATGAATTTTAGGGTCTACATGAGGAAGAAGTAACTCAGCAACCATTGCTATGAAAGACTGCTAAAGTACACAAGAAGCAACAGTAATTTTGAAAGGCTTTCAGTAGTGCCTATGAAGTTGGTCACTGTCACAGAGCAAATAACATTTTCTCAAAAGATGTAAGAAAAAATGTGAAAAAGCCACTTCTGAGGTCATATGTCATATATTGAAAATTTTTATTTTCCTACTTGTGGAATGTTGCAAGAGTTTCCATATTCCTTTTCAGGGATGGCTCTGAGCTCATGTGGAAACTACATAACCATAAAAGATTCTGCATTCTCCCTTATGAAAGGGAACAGATTTTTGGATTGTATAAATCAAATGAACACAAACAGACAAACCTAACCACAAAACCAAACACTCACAGAAAAACTCCACCAACCACATCATGCAGTCCTGGAGGTTTAAGATTGACTTCTATTCAATAATTCTTTTCATGCCACTTCCATCAACTGTGAATGRTGCCACATTCAGGTTTCACCATCTTAAATATCATGGGTTCTGTGGAATTTGTGACTTTCTTGTAYTATTTCTTCTGCACTTATGTGAGGCAGATAGCCTCGCATTTATTGCATCAGCTCGAATAGTTGCTGTGCTAGAGTACAATTTCTTATTTGYACATACCTGTGCCCTTCTTGATTCTCTTAGCTTAAGGTACTAGTGGCACTCCATTTAAATTAGGCTGCTGAGCTGTGTAAATCAGCTGTAAACTTTGTTCTGGGAGCAGACTGAATCATATCTCCTACACTCAGAGAGGTAAATTTTGGACTGAATGCTGAATAACCTCTCCTAGGCACATTCTCATTCCTTGTTGAAAAGCTAGAAATGTATCTGTATTTTTCACCMAGAAWAGCCTSGGTAATAGATGGGAGAAAGGAAGCATCACTTCAAGATAGTACAGCCCATTCCAGAAAGGCTTTGGCAGCCTCTCAGAATGTTTGCTGAGAAATATGCTGATATTTGGCATCTGAAGGGCAGCTACTTGAGATTCAGGAGATTGTTTATCTTCTGAGCCTTAACTGAAATATCTAGATAATATACTGTATAAGTAACTTTGTGGTCTGGAATGGGGKTTTAGGATTAGAGTTAGGGTCTAGGGTTCGGGTTTCCATTGCATGAGCTATTTTGCWCTTCAAGTTGTCTGTGTTGGAAAATGCATGAACMKCCACTTGTAAAAAAGAAAAGCTGAYTAATGTGGAGTTCTTCACWATGCATTTTTTGTAATGTGTCCTCTTTTCCTCATCTTTCCGTCTGCTCCAACTATGTAAGGCTTCTTGAAAGAATTCTGTTTCTAACGGAGATCAGTAGTTGGTGCCTTGTCATTGTATTCAAAAGTCTTAGAAAAATAAAATGGGTAGTATAGACAAAAGCTTCTCCTGAGYTGATGGATTTTGTTTACTAAGCATGAAAATGTGTATGGATAGCTGATTGTGATATGTAGATGCTTTATACTAAGTTTTTCCTCCGTTTTTTATACTGGGAGAAGCTTTTAAAGTACATTTAGAAGATGAAGGAATTGATTTCCTTTACAATCATGAACAAGATATATGGAATGCTTCAGTATACMTAAAAAAATGTTATGTGTTGCTTTTCTTTGGCTTATACAAGCAAAAAGTAGTACAGTGCAAAACATACTAAAGGTTTGATTTTAGCTAAATACTCACAGCATAACTAACACTTTTAAAATTTTTTAATGCTATGTAATATTGAGACTTTTCAGCTCTCATGTACTCTGCTATCCCAGMTGCTCATTATGTACAGCTCAGGGTYTAATGAGCCAAAGGTGTTTTYTMTRTAACTAATAAATTGTTTCTTCCATGAGAAATCCCAGGCYTGTAAACCCAAAGATAAGCCACTTATCTTTCAGCTTGACTTGTGGAATGCYGTATAAAATGATGCATAAAAGTTAGTTTATCTCAATTTCATTCTACTTTAAARTTTTCTTTATGCTGTGTAATTTTACTACTAAGCTATGTTTATTGCTTTCCTGGCTGTGGTTCTGATCCTGATGCAGCTCTTTTCTTGTCAGATTTTTGTCACAAGAAGCAGTTCATACCTGGAGATCCTATTTTCATGTCAGATTTTTCTTTAATGGTTTAYCTATAAGGAGCACATCACTCAAAATTTGCTTCCTTCTGGAAATAGYGTGTTGTGTGGTGTAGCCCTTAATTGATGAGGCAGCAAGTAGATGGATAAAGTTGTTCCGTGCTCAGTGAAGCTCTTGGCAAATTGTTACCCCTCTATGAGTATTAACAGGGAGCTCCAGAACATTTTACCTGAATTTGAACTGTGTTTTGTCCAGCACTCAGTTCAGTGCCAGTAGGACATACCRAATTTCCTGTTTTCCCCTCCTTCTTTTTAAACACAATTGGGTTAAAAATAATTCTCAGAAAATGTTATTTTTAYCCAGGCTGTGATTATCAGTGTAGCAGAGATTAACAATCACTTTTATTGTCACAAGGGTGGGACAGCAAATGTCTCTGTGAGAATGTAGATGCATAAGTAAGGAGGAGTAAGCACAAGAGGGGACTCTTTAAATTATAAASTTGACTTTCATAAGCATATTTTATTTCATTTAAGTCTTCTATGCAAAATAATTTAGGTTTTGTTGTTCTATATCTTTTCAGGTCTGTAAACAACCAGTACTGCAGAAAAGTGATAGGTGGGATGGTTTGGAACCCATCATTGAGACGATCCTTATCCGTTGAGCACCTTGAGACCAAAAGCCTTCCTTCTCGATCACCTCCTGTTACCCCCAATTGGTAAATCCATTTTCAGCCTTTTCCACACCTTCTACCTCCTACCGTTTCTAATTGTATGTACTCTAGCAGAATAATTATGTAGTGTGTACATGTATATTTAAACATTGTTATTCTGAGAATATATATGACACCAGAAGAGTGGGAGTCACCTCARCTTTAGCAAGGCTTTCATGCTGTCTACCAAAATCTTGTACCCAAGTTAAGATGCCATGTTCTGGATGGGTGGACAACAGAGTGGTTAAGAAAAAAATGTGAAGATGTTCGGATGACTGGACTAAGAGGGGAGTTGTTAGTGTGTCATACTCTGCCTGGACAACAGTAAAAAGTCTCTCTTGAGACCTTTCCTGCTTGACATCTTGTTGTGGTTTGAACCCTGGCTGAACACTAAGGCATCCATGATGTTTCYCCCAACCCCCAGGAGAGGCAKAAGGGAGAACAAAATCCCTAATTAACCCAAAGATYTATGGCTTTTAGATAAAAYRACGGATTGAGAGGGAGATTTCAYGCTCCATGAAGGTTGAAACAGACTGGAACTTACGTTGCAARATAGATTTATTAYTAAAACTACTAAGAAACTTAGGGGAAGGGAAGAAGAAAAGGCAGAGGGCAAATTTATGAGGAGGCGGGAAGTAAAAGGATGGTTTAAGACACCTGTTTCTCTCCCATTTTGCCCCCCCCTTYCCACCTTCCTGTGTGCAGCGGGARYAGGGATGGGAGTTTTCTGGTCAGTCCTTCACAATGTTGTCTTCCACCACCATAGAAGTGCTGTTGTCCTGCTCCAGGCTGTGGAGGTCTTTTCCCAGGAAMAGACACTATTATCACTGCTGGTGGCATGGGATTTTTTTTCCTTTACCTCAGCCACAGAGAGGGAAGCAGTCTTCCAAGGCTGGCTGGCTCCGTACTCGAACCAGGAGCAAAACTTTACTCTTGACTCTTAACACAGCTCCCTGCAGACATTCACTCACTCCAGGCATGGCCACTACAGCTACAATTAGTCCTCCAAGGCCAGGTYATTTGTATCTCAGGTCTCCAACTGGATATGGTCACCTCAGGAACAGCTTGTTTCCTCCATGGTCTGCATCACAGCTTACAAAACACCTTCTCCTCTGCCTCCCTGGCCTTGATGTCTCCATTTTTTCTCACATCTCCTCACCATCCTCCTCCCCTGTGCAGGGTGGAGGGGATTTGGGCTAAAAGCTAATGAAAGCTGAAAATTACTTGTTTWGAATTCTTCTTAAATATGAGACCATACATCACCATAGAGGTGTAACCAATATCTCAAGTTGTCCCAGGCTTAAACAGCAGCCTGTTCATCACCCTCAGAACCATCAGAGATTGGCCCTACAACACAGGGGGGCAGATCTCTTTTTGCTGGACATGATGAAGAAGACTTCCAATATCTTCTCACAGGAGCCATTTTTTGTGGCTTCCCTCACCACTAAAAACTTAACCTAGCAAAACCAAACATCTTTGTGGCCTGGAGGAGGCAATGGTGTGCTTGATCATAAAGTTTGCRGATGACACCAAACTGGGGGATKAATCAATAAACCTGTGGGCAGGGCTGCTCTCCAAAGGGATCTCAATAATCTGGAGAAATGGGCCAATAGGAAATATGTGAAATTCAATGGATACAGACACAGAGTGCTGGGAAGTAGGAACCCAGTGCAACAGTATTGTCTGCAGTGCAGCTTTCTGGAAAATAGCTTCTTAATCTTATTGTCAGAAATGGTACATGAACCATCTGGTGTGCCCTGACAGCAAAGAGGTCCACTTCAACCTGGCAGAATTAACAGAATCGTAGATGGTAGGTCAGTGGAAATGATAGACCCCTTTTTGCTCAGCTTGCATTAGATTTTATTGGAATGCTGCAGCCCTTTTTGTCTGCAAATACAAGACAGACACTGGAGCAAGCTCAGCAGAGACCACCAGCTCCAAGGTAGTCACAGCCTGGAGAAGCAGGAGTTTCCCAGATGCCTAATTACAGCCTGGAATTACTTAGGAGGAGGCTAGCTACGGGGTGAGGTTGCGTTCTTCAGTATTGCTTGTTGGGAGGATGAGGCAACAGGTATATGTTGAAACAAGAGAGGTTKTGTCTGGATACAATGGAAAAGATGCTTCACCGCATTCACAGTCGCTTGGGGAAGCTGTGTGGTCTGCATCCTTCAGATTTTTTGAGATATGAGTGGATAATGCCTTAAGCAGCTTAAGGTCTGGCCTTAGTTGACCCTGCTTTGGATTGGACTAGATGACCCCCATAAGTCCCTTCCAACCAGAATTATCCTATGGTTAAAACTCTGATCATGTAAGTTTTATTTTACAGGGGGGAAAATAATGTATCAGTTCAGTATACTGAACTAGCAGTGTATGATTGCCTAGTATACCATACAAAATGGTTCAAATAGATTATTTAGAGTGAGACTTATAGGCCTATTATGAAGCTTCAGGTCATAACTGCAATAGGAGAGAATTTTTTCTTCTATAAAGTTTCATTAAATATTCTAATCTTCCTGCTTGTGTTTCTATTTTGTCTTTTTAAGGCGGAGTCCTAGACTGCGTCATGAAATCCGCAAACCACGACACTCATCTGTAGATAACCTTACAAATGAGATTAGTTATATTACTGAAACAGAGGATGTTTTTTACACRTATAAGGGCTCTCCAACATCAAAGGACAGTGATTCAGAGTTCTCTCAGAACCGTAGTCCACAGAGGAGGTAAGGACTTCCRCAAGCAATCCATTGCCTGTTTTGARTTTTTTTTWAAAGCACCAAACATAAAAACCAAAGAGTGGTAGTATAAAACAGTCACAATTGGTTGTATTATTACAATGAGTTCAAACRGTTTTGTATTTGCATAAGCTTTGTTTTGACTAATTGCTGTACTGCAAATGCCATGACACAGAATAACAAGTCAAAAGCAAAYCAACCCTTCATCCTAAACAATACTCAGTAGTTGAGTTGCTAGTAAAATTAGAGGAACTGTTAAGGCATGCCTGTACAAATCTGTAATACCCTGTTTCCTAGTAKCTTTTGCAACCCTTTCCTACCTGTCAAAAACTTCTTTTTGCGAGGAGAAAGACTTWGTGAACTCTTTTAAGATTTCACTCATGTTCCACATCACCAGCTCAGCCTTGTCAGTTGAAAGAGGTATTGCATTTGAGTATACACAAGAACATCGTAATGCTGGTGGTCATCCATCTTTTTCTTCTTCAGAGGAATTGTCGATGACTTGTTTAAAGGCAGTGACTGCTTTTTGGCTGCATTCCTTGAGGACCAACTTTGTTTTCCTCTGCTCTAGCCACTGTTAGGTTTGCTTCCAGGACTTGAAGCCCCTGTGTGTGTGCACTCTGATCATTTGCTTGCTCATGTATTATATTATATATGTGGTTACATTCATTTCTTAATGTAGATTATCACAATATCAACTTCAGAAATAATGTACTAAGTCATTAATCATTCAGTCTCAAAAACAAAACAGGTACATTAAAACAGAGCTGGGCAGAATGTTATGTATTTAAATGCAGGTTCCTTTGTAGCATTACAAAAGAAAAATGGATTCTAGTGATACCTAGTTACTTTAAGGCAAGGTGTATTTTGAGAAGCAATGTTTTARTGGAAGCTGGCAGGACTCACCTGCTTCTGTCACTGTGTGCAGCTACTAAATGTAGCTTAAAATTCTGGGTTTAAATTGTTTTCTTTAAATTCTRTAATAACATTGTTACTCCATTACAGCAGAGAGTTTTCAGTAAAAGAAAGGAAAAATTGACATGTTGTATGCATATTTGGAGTTGGTCACTCTTTTGAGTATGTTAAGTATTTTGAGTTTCTCACTTCATTTCTCTATTTCTCTGACGGGAAGATAGCCGAACCTTAATACTATTTATTAGTACTAATAGCAGTAGTAGCCATGGTAATACATAAAAGTGCTGCCTTTAGATGTTGTAAATAGGAAACCATGCCATTGCTAKGTTTAAAGTTTGCAGATGATACACTTTTAGAAGTGTTTTCTGAGTAAAAGTACTGAGAGGCAGACATAAGAGATGAGGATAGAAGCTGTAGACAGAAAATTAGGTTGCCATGCTGTGTTTTGTGACTGGTGAATTGTGTCCTGCCAGCTAATACATTGTTTTTTTTTTTTTTATTTTCCTTTTTGTTTTCTTCCCCTGTAGTTTTTTGCTTTCCTTCCTGTTTCAGTTATCTTATACCTACTGAGAATGGAGTGGAAAATCCTGCCTTTATGCCTTTTTTCTCTCAGTGAAAATAGGATGTTCTAAATTTGAAARCAGCATATTCATTTATTTTCTGAACCCTAAATGACTGTGCTGAATCTGGGTAATATCCCTCACTGTGGAGATTTGTACTGTTACTACCTTGTGTAAACCATTGTGTTTCTTCTTACATCTTATCCCAAACACATTATCCTTTTTTTGGGTATGTTTGTAATATTTTATAGTCTTCAGGTAAATGAAAAAATCCTTGCATAAATCTGATTAATTTAAATTCAAGTTGTGCGTTTTGGAAGAAGACTGGAATAAATGATCTTTTGTTGTATTGACTGTTAGACTTTTGTRAAGTAAAATAGTAATTAATAATTTCCTTTTTAACAGTTGAGGTAAAATACAAAGTAGCCATACAAATAAAAACCCTTTTTTTTCCTCTACATTTCAATTTGTTCGTACACATTCCAGATTTATTCCTTTTGCATTCTTACAATAGTTGTTACTTGCTTCACTTCCATTGCTGAATTATGTAAAGTAAAACCAGGTATATGTGTATAGTAAAAAAAGCATTCTTTCAGTGAATGCTTTATTGAGAGAGGGAATCTTACCCTGTCAGCTAAATCTGTTTTGGAAATAAAAAAGTTTACCTTGCTTATCTTCAGTATTGAATATGGATGCTTGCCCTGGGCTTTTGCCACACACTGGGAATATTTAAGCATTCCCTWAGAAACACCTTTCAGTGTACTGATAAATCTTGTAAAGCCAACTAACCCATTTTTGCCATGCTGATCTTCAGTAGATTTGAACTGACATAATAGAAAAATGCTATGGAAAAAAACCCACAGATTTCCAATTTCTTTTTCATTAGAGGAGAGCCAAGAGTAGCTAATACACATTGTCTTTAGGGGGATCTTTTTTCACTTACTAGCCCACTGTCTGGGACTGTTAATAAAGGTGTTAGTTAATGCTAATTATAAGTACTATCTTTGGCATGAAAAATTTCTGAAGTATTTTTGGAGAGCTGGCAAACAGCTGTAAATACTGGCATTTCATCATTGAATGGTTATGTCTGGGACCTCAAATACTACTACTACTAATAATAATCCTCCAGCAGCTTGACTTCTGTAAACACCAATTAAATTTACTATTTCTGACGCAAGACTGTGCAAGCTGTGGCTGGCATGGAATATGACTCTTCTCTTATTTTTCCAGCTGCCATCAGCATTTCAGGGTTGGAGGATAATTGTCACTCTTTTTCCCTTTTTTGTCAAAACAGCAGGTGGTTTGTGGTTTGAAGGTAGGATAGACCTACCTTCAAATKGACCTGTTGTCAATTTGCCTTTTTGAGGCAAATCTTAGGTAAAACTTRTGTACTGACTTGCTACCTACCTAATCCTGCCTAGGCACATTCAGAACCTTGGTGGATATCAGAAATGTACAAGCAGCCACTGCTGGCAAAAATACATACATGTGCATTTATTGCTCTCTACAGCTTTTTTCCTTCCTTACAATACCAAGTATATTTATTTTCTTAATAATCAACTTTCTTCCTTGCTTTGTTTACCATCATGTAGGAATCAATCAAGTTCTACTTTCTTTCTRTGAAACAGTACACAATTTAGAAAACAAATTATGTGAAACAGATCTTAGTTTGGAGAGCATAAAACATAACAGTTGTTAATATTTCTTCTTCAATTTCTTTTAAGATACTGTACTGTATCAACATATCATCTAGAATTACATTTGCTGTTAAAATCCTTTAAATGAACTTGCTGGAGATGATAGTCAATAATATTTTGTCATTTCTTATATTGTTTCTCTTAAGGCCATAATAATTTGCTTKGTGTAAACACTGCCTTCCAACTGAAATTTGAGGTCTGTACTATAGGCTGTGACTGGAAAAAAAGAAAATTGGAACATAGCACAAACCATGCACACAGGTGAACAGTAGAAAGCCAGGGCAAGCTAGTGAGCACTGTGTTAGCTACCCAAATTATCTAAGGTACTTTCACRTTCAAGAACCATTTGGCGCTCAGACATGGTGAAAAGAAGCAATTTTTCTCTCTTAGTTTGGTGTCTGTAGAAAAGATTGGAACTGTCCATTACATCTGTATTGTAGACAAAAAAATAGTCCAATTCCAAATTAATTTACACTATCTAAAACTTCATTTGCAGGGCATGAATAGGTTTGCTTATCTAAGCCAACTCTCTCAAATCACACCTGCTTACAAAACTTGTCAGAAAAGACAGTGCTGAAGAGGGCTTCAAGAGGACTTTTGTTTAGCCCAAATCTCTCCAGCCTTTATGCAGAGAACATCCCCTGTTAGTTCTTCATCCTCTTTGTTGCTCTGTTGCTGAGCATCTCAGCTGACTGCTATTGCCACTGAAGAATTAGCACTAACATATAYGTGGACCTCACTCTTGGCTTTCTGAAGTCTCAAAAGTTGCTTTCCCTGTTGTGCAACACTTTATGGCTGTGCCTCACCAGTTCAGAACAGGTAAACCAGTCTGTTTTCTGAGTACATGTTATGCTCACTCTGAGACTCTGTTTATACCATCCCTACATGTGTGTGCACATGGTGCCATTATTATTTTGTTCTAAAAGTTATTTCAAGAACAGGATTGAGATTAAACATACTAATTAATTAGTAAGTGCACTTGTTTGTAACTTTTTTTAGATAGAATTAGCTTTCCATGGTCTTGRCTTCCCTGAAAATGTTTTCTTTGAGAGATTTGCATTCTCTTCATTAATGAACTGCTGTTACTGACTTTTTAAACTTCTTATCTTAAGCAAAGTGGAAAACATCTCTTTTTCTGTGAGGTTACATGTCTTCAGATGTCCTTAAACCCTGAGGTATACATTAGGGAAGTGTTATGAATACAAACTGGCTTTCCTTTAAGATACAAAGTAAGTTATATTATGAGGCTTCATTATCTCTAAAGTTACCTCTGTGGGAAAGCTGCTTTAGTTTGGGAAGTTTATTCAAAGTTGTCATACCATCAGGCATCAACTCATCCTGGCCCTCTACTTTCCTGATAGGTAGCCTGGATAGAGCTCCTGGAGGATGTTGTCTTTGAGAAAAATGTTTTTCTTTCAGTCYAACAGGTTTAAGCCATAACTGGTTATTTTTAAAGGCAGACTGATGGACTTCAGCAGGGAATTGTTTTTTATTGCAATTTTTGCTTTTTTTAGCCAGGTATAGTGCTTAAAGATTACCTCTGTTGCAGTCTGTCTTGATAAAGATACCACTACAGTTTACAAAATTGGAATAAGGAAAGACTCACGATGCAGAGGAACAAATTGTTCTTACTGTTTTGCCTTTCCCTGACACTGCTGTGATCTGTATGCTACTGTGTTGTTTAAGGGGAAAAGGTACAATGAAAATGAAAGTCATATTAAAGTATGTGACATTGTTTCAATACCAGGCTGGAACATTCCACAACATCTTTGATTTAAGCAGTTACCTTCAAATCTTAAGTTGGTTTTAACTGAAG